AGGGCTGGAGACGAAACACTGAGCCGGAAGCCGCAGCCTCCCGGGCGGCCTGAAGCTCCGGGAGCAACCAGCTGGGGTCCGAGGGGCTGTGCTCAGCGGCACCGACCACGATGCCGATGCCGGGGCTTAGAGAAGCCCCTCTGCTGACCCAGCGTCCCACACTGCGGCGGCTGCTGAACAGCTGGCCTTTTACATCAGTAAGTTCTATGGAAACAAAGCTAAATTCTCAAAGTTACGCTGCTTTAAGACTGGAACGCGCAGGCCGATTTAGGCCCCGCCCCCACTACATGACTGAAAGTAGGACCTGTCCCGCTGCGTTCCGGCCCCATCACCCCCGCACAGGCGCTTCTCTGGACACCACAGCTCTGGCCTCTGCGCATCACACCCATGGAGAAGCGCAGCCCAGCTTTAGGTTCAGAGGCACATGCAAATTACTCTCTTGTGTGTGTGTGCTAACTCCAGCCAGAAAGGAAGACAAAGGATTTCACTGAGATGTTTGAGGGCTTTTTAAGTAACTGGAACCAAGGAAGAGAAAAGTTCCAATTGTCCTTATTTAACTGAAAACAGCTAACACACTTTTAGGCCCCAAAGCAAAACAAATGAGAACACAACTCAATCCACATTAAAGGCTGAGAAATCAAGGCTCTTTCGGTTGTTGCTGAAGCTCCCGTTCGCCTGTGGGTGTCACCGAGCTCACCTTCCCGAGGCCTCCCCCCAACAGGCAGCGCCGCCCCCTCAGCGGTCCCTGCAGGGAGGGGAGGTCCGCCCTCCACCGCCAGCCCGACCACGACCACGGGCTTTCTGTTCGGTGCCCTTCCTCACGACCAGTGGCCCGGCCCCGTGCTGAGCCTGCGGAGGGCCCAGTGCCGCTGAACTGGAGACAGGGCCGGTGGTCAGCAAGGAGCTGAGCTCCGCTAACAGGCCCTCCGATGCCTGGGAGGGAAACTTCACTGTGAGAGAGAAACATCGGCCAGTCGCCTCTCCCGGGTCCCCCCACTGGGGACCTGGCCTGCAACCTAGGCATGTGCCCTGACTGGGAATCGAACCTGACTGGGAATTCAACCCTTTGGTTTGTAGGCTGGTGCTCAATCCACTGAGCCACACCAGCCAGGGCTGAATACTCTTATTTTTTAAAAACATAATTGAGACGCTCCGTATTCTGAGAAACCTTGCAAGGGTTGATCCCAAGACAAATCCTTTGCTGCGGACATTTTTTGAGGAAACATCCTCACTAGATATTAATGAGTGTACATGGTACCCGAGCACCTGAACAGTGGATGTGGCCTCTTCCAGAGAAGCATCCGCGTTGGCGACACTGGACCCATGGGGCAGCACCCTCGCGAAGAGCAGGCAACAAGCAGCAGCAGACCTCGGGCACAGCCTCTCTCTCAGCCCAGCTCAGGACGTCCCGGGGAGGGACGGGGCGGTTCTGAAGACATGCGCGGCCGTGAAGCGACTCCCGCGTCCACAGTGAGCAACCGCCCGCCAGTGCACGGCCCCCAGCACCATCCCGCCTGACGCTTTGCTGTTGTTTGCTGCTCCACTGCCGGCGAAGACCCCCCAACACAAGGGCCGGCTGTTCGCACACCGGTGCTTCTGGGGCCCCTCCAGGATGCCCCTTCGGCACAGTGGCGGTGTCTGTTTTGAAGCTGATGGCCCGAAATGCCTTCTTTCCTGGCAGTCACTCTGAGTCCGGCAATATTTTTAACATTCAAAACAACTCCCTCACCGCATTACTTGAAATTTCGAAAACAACTGCTTTATTTTAGACTCTCATTTTAAAGAATTCGCTTCCTGATGAGAAACTTTCAGTTACTGAGCTAGCGCGGGCTGAACTCGGTGGCACAGAAGCCCACAGTGGGCTTTTCTGTAGACGGTTTTCCTCTGGGCTGGCTGGGGTCAAGGACACCAAATTCAGGACACCTTGTCCTTATCTGGCTGGAACCTGGAGCAGAGTCACTGTAACTCTGGGACACCTTTCACAACATCAAAACTGCTTGGAGTCCTCGTGCCGCTGATAAAAACTACAACCAAAAGGATCCTCAAGAGACAAGCATTCATCCTAATTATTGATCGGAATGTCCTACGTAATGTTGTAACTGCCCAAATCTACTTGTTTCATTTGGGAGTTTTTCCTGTGAATCACAGATGTAAAAACCAAACCAAACCAATAGATGGCACGGTGAAAAACTGCATGTTCTCCCAAAGGACACAAGCTGTTTGAACAAGTTCTTGACTGTTCCGGGCTGTCTTTAAATAGCTACTGGGATCAGAGGCTGACGGGCGGCGTGACCAGTGCAAGGCGCGTACTTGCAACGGGCTGCCCGTGACAGCAACCCCCTCGAACGGCTCGTCACCAAAACACACCACCCAGACCCTGCGCGCGTTTCCAGAGCGTGCTGTCCACACAGACCCGTCCCGCTCTGCCCTTCTAGGGCCTCGCAGACAAGGACAAAAGACACCAGCTCAGGGCTCAGACCCTGGCACAGTGGGGGGGTGGGGGGGGCTGAGAACAAGAAGGGGAAATTCCAGGAGGACCCGGCCACCCGGTCAGAACAAAGGACGTGCAGTGACCGCTCGCCACCAGTGCGTCCATTCTTATTTGTTTCCTTTTTTTCACTTTCAGAATTTATTTTGAATTATAACAGATGTGCAGCATTGTGTTAGTTTCAGGCCTACGACGTTACTTCCCCACCTCACTGAGTGGTCTCCGTTAAGCCCCGCTCCCGCGTGCTCTGTGCTCGGTGTTGCGGCGTCCCTGGTGGCCACCCCGGGGGTGTCCCTGCGTCTCCGTGACGTGGAGAAAGTGCACGACCCCACTCTCCAGCCCCGCCCCTCCCCACCCAAGGGCTCCATTCCTGACAGACTACCACTCATGTAGGGTGCTTTTTAGAAACGCAGATTCTTAAAAAAACGGTGGCCTGAGCATGTATTTATCTTTAAACTTCCTCTCCAAGTCCTATGAAAATGAGAAGAAATTTAAAAAAAGAAAAAACCCACAAGATGCCCTGGCTGGTGTAGCTCAGTGGACTGAGCGCAGGCTTGTGAACTAAAGGATAGAGGTTCAATTCCCAGTTAGGGCACATGCCTGGGTTGCAGGCCAGTTCCCAGCAGAGAATGCATTAGAGGCAACCACACATTGATATTTCTCTCCCTCTCTCCTTCCCTTCCCCCTCTAAAGATAAATAAATAACATCTTTAAAAAAACCCCACAAGAACAAAAAAATTGAGAGAGAAGACCAGAGCTGACTGAGAGGTCAACAGGGCTGTGAGGAGCGGGAGGGCCTGCGGAGGAAGGAACCACAAGCGAGGGGGGCCTGAGCCCGTGGGGCCGGGGGCCGTGAGACCCTGCAGGGCTCAGGGACCTGAGGTCGGTCCTGAGCACGTGGGTGAGGGGTGGGCAAGTCTGTGTAAGAAACCGTGGGAGCTCAGGGTGGCGGGGGTGGGGTGCTCCCCGGGGCGGGAGGAGAGGGAACCCCGAGAGCCCCGGGTGCTGGGGCGGGGTGCTCCACCGCGCTGGGAGCAGGGGGTTCTGGGAACGCCGCTGTTCTGATGACCGTGCTGTTGATGCAACAGAAAGGAAAACAGCGAAGGTGTGTGAGTCTCTGTTCCGCGGGCCGACCACAGATCATGGCGCTTCAACCACGCTTACTGGCTCCTTTCTAGAAAGACCCACGGACACGGCAGGACATCTAATAAAGTCACTTTGCTGTGAGAAATTTCCAGTGCCCTACCACTGAGTCACATTTGAGTTTGGGCCACCCACGCAGCGGCGGAACTGAGGCCCCCCAGGGTCTGGGGCAGGAAGGCAACAGATTTTAACTGGGCCCTGGCTGGTGTGGCTCAGTGGATGAGTGCCAGGCTGCAAAGCAATGGTTCACTGGTTCAATTCCCACTTGGGATACATGCCTGTGTTGTGGGCCAGGTCCCCAGTAGGGGGCGCATGACAGGTGACCGCACATGGATGTTTGTCTCCCTCTCTTTCTTCCTCCCTTCCCCTCTCTACAAAATAAATCTTAAAAAAAAAAAAAAAAAGGATTTTAACTGGGTACCAAAAAAGTCCACATTTGATTAATTCTGGTAACAGAACCCTTCCCTTTCTTTCCCTTCCACCACCTGCACGTTATTTTTTAAAGAAACAATAACTTAGGTTACATTAAATCATGTGGCTGGCACAGACAATGCACGAGAAAGACAGACAAATCACCTACGAAGCCACTGCCCTGTCTGCGTCGGCCGACGGGAGCCCGAACTGTCGTGACAACTTTCGCAGCTGTAAACAGCAGAAGCCCGGACACCAATGCGCATCAGGAGGAGAGACGAGGCCCCGGAACGGGGGCACGAGGCGCAGCAGGTCCCCAGGCGGCGGTCCTCAGCCGCTGACCGTCCAAGGCGGGGGCCCCGGCCCCTTCTCCCCCTCATGTGGCCCAATGTAAACCCAGTGACAGCCCCCACAACAGCACCCGCCTGGGGAACGCCCTGCCTCGGACCACAAATGCATGGGTCACATGATCCAGCTGTGTCTTACGGGTCACATCGCATCCTGAGGTTGCACCGATGGCTTATTCTTGGCACTAGAAATGCTTATACACAAGTAGAGGCACCTGATTTTATAAAGTGTCACTTTGGAGCAAAAAGGGTAGGTAATTACTATTATCTATGATTATTACTTTTTTCCTGGTAAATCAATCAAATTATACCTCTTTTTGTCAAATCAGCAAAAAATATGTATTTTTTTTTGATGTGCCACAGAAGTTTAGTAGCTTATGTATCAGGAGATGAGAAAGACTAAAAATCGCAGCCTTAAAGCACCCGCCCGAGTGTGACCCCAGCTAAAAGTGTGTGGGCCTGAGAGGGAGAGCCCTCTCGGTGAACACTCGTGGGACCCGCTGACCAGGACACAGGGCCCTGCTTCTGGGAGCCCCGGCACCGCCCTCGCCCTCGCCCCAACCTTCTGCCTGCCCCCTGCTCCGCCCGAGTGCGCCGGTCAGGTCACAAACCTTCTGCCTCCGCGGCGTCAGCACGGTCCAGCCTGGCTTCCTTGTGCTGTCCTTCTGCGACCTTCACAGCGACGGCGCGGCAGATGGCCCCCAGCTTCCGGTCCAGAGAGCGGACCCCCGCCTCTCGGGTGTACCTGTCATCAGAGAGCAACCCGTGATTTTTGGCTCAACACCCCTTGCAGAGATAAAAGGACCGTGATCGGCATTTACACTAAACGTGTAAACTTCCACTTACAAGTTCACTGCGAGGTTCCTGAGTACCAAGCCCCTTGCACGTAAAACCTCCTTAGGAAAGCGCGATTAGTCCTTAAACAGGCAGGCATCACCTCAGCTACAACTGTTCCCTCCGCACACACTCACGCGGTCGCCCTGGGCTTACGGGTGAGTCCCTGGCTCTTCGGAGCCAAACTGGCCACACACAAAACATCACCTCCTTTTTGAGGGTATGTGTGAGCTCTTTCTTGAACAAAATCAGCTTAAGAAAATGCCAGAGAAATTTATTTTGTTTTGAGTATTGCTGATAAAAAAAACCCCACACGGAACTTTTTTTCCCACTAAAAGCAAAAAATCAGCTGAGACAGAAACTTAGTTTTCACGAGAAACTGCAAATCACCTCCACTCCGTGTCTTTCCATCGCAGAGATTTCTGAAGAAAGAGCACTAAGTGATGTTAAGTGTTGTGCTTTTGTGTGGAAGACACTAAACGAGCTTACGCAGAGCTGCCTTAAAACCCTCCATGTCCGACACGTGTCCCTGCGCCATGTCAGTGGCCACGCGGCTGCCCGGCTCCGGGACGGCTCGCACAGGCAGTGCGAGTCACAGAATCCGCTTCACTGTGCAGCATGGACCGACTGGCGGTCAGACCCTCTATTCTAGACTTTCAGGGAGGCGGGTTTTCAAGGTTCTGAGAAAAGACAACGGGAAGCTCTTGGCTAAACACTCTCAGACCCATTTCCATCAACAGGACGGGGGCTGGAAGGGTGAAGTCCGTGCTACACAGCCGCATGTAACCCCAGGAGGCAGGGAAGCAGGGAGGCATCTGAAAAGTGGACAAACCAACAGAGAAACAAAGCCAAACAGCCGAGGCAGCTCCCCAGACGGCCCTCCGCTCCGCTCTGCTCCAGTGAAGCGGTCCGCACAGGCGATGGGAGGGGGGAGCGGAGGAAGCTCCCAGGGAGTCGCACCAACTCTCAAAAACGGCAAAGGGCGCTCAGGCAGCACCAACAGGTCACAGCCATGAGGGCGGCGCCACCCTTCTGTCTGGAGTTTGGAACAGGAACGGGCAGGGCCTGTGCAGACATGGCAACGCTGCAGCTGATCAAAGGAGCCAGATGCGCCGCTGCACCGGAAGGGAAGCATCGCCGGCAGCAGCGCGAACTCCTTTGTCGTGATTCGGACAGGAAAGTGCTGGAGATTCCAACTTTCAGAGCAGAGAAAACTAACATTCTTCAGCACTTTCTTTGTAAGGGCAGAGGGCTGTGCGGGGGAGGAGCGCTGGACTCCAGGCGCTCGCGCAGGGCCCAATGAGAGAAGCGTGTCTTGGTGCCAAGGAGTGGCCGGTGGGGGGTCGGCCGCCAGGGAGGTGTATAGGTGGCAGCTCCCCCTGGGAGGGCAGCCCAGCTGATGACGTCTGAGGTCCCCCCTTCTCCAGGGAGTCATGGGTCCGTGACTGTGACGTGGAAAGGACGAAAGCGGCCTCAAGGAAAAAACACATCCTAAACCTGGTAACTCACCAAGTATTGAAAAAGGTGCCCAGAGTCGCAAATACCTCTGCTGCCTTTAAAAATATCAGAACTGCTTACAGCAATTTCCTGATGTCCATGGCTTTTCACACCTGAGGTTTTGAGCTAATAATAGGAAAGTGATAGCTCTCCAGGCAACACCCGGTCAATACTAAGTGATTACTCTTTGAGTCATTATTCAGACCCATACGGCCACGAGGATGTTGTTCCATCCCCCAAATTTTACAGGTGGAGAAGCTCTCAGTCGGTTACGTGACTTCCTGAAAGGGACCCAAAGGCACCAGGGGTGTCATCTGGAAGAAAGCTATTGCTGGAAGGCGCTGGCATATAAATCACCTGATTCACTTCTCCTGGCATCACCCACACAGTAAATCTCAAGTTAAGAAAACGAACTCTCAGGTCGGATGTAGTTTTATGGTTGTGCATATAAATTTAAACACACCTCCGAAGAAGGCTGGCTTCGACCACAAACCAGGCCGGGCAACCCGACGTCGAGGTGTGGCGGTCGCCGAAGGACCGCCTGTGGAGCGCTGGGCAGAGTGGCCCAGGGGGCCAGGTGACGCAACGGGCCGGCAACGCCGAGCCAGGGGAACCGGGAGAGGCGGCTGCAGATGTAAATCTCAACGGGCACACTCTCCTTCCAAACACGGGGCCTCTAACTCAGACGGAGCAGCAGCCTCAGCAAGTGTGCGCCTGCCCGCCACAGGTGTGAGGGCGGGGCGGCTGCCGGGAGGCACCTCCTCCATCGCTCCATTAACTCTGCAGACAAAAACTCTAAGGATTTTAAAAATCTCTTAAAGAGAAGAGAGGGAAATCCGAAAAACTTAGAGCAGATGTCTGAAAACAGAACCTCACACACTAAGGGAATCTGGATCTTAAGATCCTGGGCCATAAAAGGTGTCTCAACATTTTCCATGATTGGGTTCTTGATTTAGCGCATCAATCCCTGCACCGCTACGGTGTGTGCCGGGCTCCGCCGGAGGCCACTCTGCCAGACCCAACGTCACCGACGCTCAGGGGGCTGACCCACCTGGTGATGATGTCCAGCGTCGTCACCTGAGGGATCTGGATCTGCTGAGGGGTCAGCCCGTGCTGCCCCAGCTGCTTGGGGATCAGGTGCCTGTGCGCAATCTCGATCTTCTCCTCCTGGGTGTACCCTGTGGGGGGGTGGGCAGTGGTTCGAGGTGCTTGCGTGGCCGAGAGCTGAGCGCTTTCGGAGTGAGTTTGAGTGCTACTTCGACTGAGATTGCATAATCAGAAGAAAGAAAGCTACTGCCCCATCAACGACAACAATTCCCTGACTCTCCCCAAACAAAGCATTTACTCAGCACAGCATCTCACAGTCCTCTGGTTAAATGCCATCTCTCTCAAAGCAGAGGAAAGAAATCTTGAACCTCAGAGAGAACTATCTCCGTAGCTCATATTCAAGTTACTTCATTATTTAATAGGGAACACGTCCTTTTCTGTAGCATAACTTGGTACATATTTGAGAAGACCTAAAACGCAACACCACTTCCATTAAATATCAGCAGGTTCCACGGGGAAAGCCACACACAGGTTTCAGCAACAGGACAACCCCAGAGCTCAGGTGACCCTATAAAAGTTTATTCCCTCTGTAGGTTGTCGCTAGATATATAATTTATATATTTAAAAGACAACGTTCTTAGTTATTTAAAAGCCTCAATGAGTACAAATTTACTTTGTCTTTAAACCAGTGAGATGAACTTCCCCCTAAAAAACCACCCACTTTCCACTGCACAAGCACGAGTTAGGATGGACCAGTACGACACCTTCTGAACAGCACCAGAGAAGGGAGAGGAGGGGCCGCCTGCAGGCGGGGGGGCCGGTGTGCGCCCCCCTCTTGCCCCAGTGCATCTTGTGAGTGCTCTGCCTTAATTTGGGCTCTCCGGGCCCTTGGGTTTCATGGCTTACTTATTTTAGTCTCAGAAATGTGCACAAAGCAGCTATTTACTCCACTGTATTTTCAAACTAAGTACAGGAACTGGCAGGGCTCACAGGTAACCAAGAAATGCAGTCACCACTCACTTGCTAGTAACAATACACTTCAGATTCATATGAAATATATCCACTTGGACTACATTTAGGACCTAAATACAATTAGACTCTACGCTACTTTCATTTTAATGAATACCCACTGACATCAGATGTCTTCTAGGGAAAGATGATTCTGAGCAATTAAAGCAGGGGGCAAACACCAGGATTTACTTGCTGTTGGTAACTAAAGTGCACTCTGCATGTTCCAGTGGAAGAGGAAACACAGGGAAAATGCAGACAGACAGACAGACAAAAACACTACTTGACTGGCCCAACTAAATAGAGGGGATGAATTCCCCACACCAATGAGGAAAGCGAAGCCAGGCGAGGTGAACAGAAAGGCCACTGCCCTTCACGGCCTGCGTGTCCCCAACGGGCAGAGGTGGCCGTACTTGCCCAGAGACGGGGAAGCTTCGCCGTCGGACACACGGGGAGCTCCACTGGCCACGCAAAGACCTGCTTTCGGTTTTGAGAGACTTTGCAAAAGAATTATTTTTGTCTGCGATTTTAGAAATTGCTTCAAAGAAGAATGCCTTGTTTTTTAATAAGACATGATTATTCTTTAATGCTAAATTCAATCTGAAATTATTATGCAAAATTGGCTCCTGATACTTTTACTGGGTTAAAGTAAACAGAGCCAGTTCTCAGAACCTGAGAAGATTGTATGTCAGCAAATCAACTTTTCACTCCAAGCCCCGTAGCCCAGCCACCTTCCGAGGGTTGTGTTCAGAAAGCAACGTCAAAAAAAAAAAGGAAAGAAAGCAATGTCAAACAGCGCCTTGGTCTGCGAGGCCGGTACCTGGCACTTGAATGATCTCCATCCTGTCCAGCAAGGCCGGGGGGATCGTGGCTGTGGTGTTGGCGGTCGCAATGAAGAGAACTTGGGAAAGGTCGAAGGCCACGTTGAGATAATGATCGGTGAAGTTATGGTTTTGTTCCGGGTCTAACACCTGCAGGAGCGAGAAACTGCAGATGCAGCAGTTGCAACAAGGAGGGGGGGGCGCCGAGGCACAGGACAGCTTGGCGCGGCTGGCACTTGTGCTGGGCCCCGCACTGCACCTTCCCCACACACCAGATACCATTGTCAAAAGTGAAACCATTTCTGAGAACAGAAAAGCACAAAGCAGCAAAAATTACCCTTTCGACTTTACTCTTAGATCTATTTATTAACAACTGACCTACTGCGTGGCCACAGCTAGCCTGACGGCCCAGCCCCGCACATGCACACGCATGCACGCACTCATAGTCCCTTGGCAAGGAGTGGGGCCTGCTGCTCCAGGGACACGAGCAAATCTGTGTCAGATCGAGAGGTGACCACTGGACAGGGCGGACACCTTTGGTGGCTACCGTGAGGTGAGAGAGACCGCAGACCCCAGAGGACGAGAGCAGGGGCATCACTGAACCAACAGCAACAACACTGAGTCCCAGGGCGGGGACCCGACTCCATGATTTAAATATGATGACAGCACTTCACACATTCAGTTACAACAAAGAAATCACGAGACAGGAAGAAACACAAGGACCAGAGGTGGACTTCTACGAAGAGTTTAAATCAGCTATTTAAATACGTTCACTGCGAAGCAAGGGACCACTGGTTCGATTCCCAATCAGGGCACATGCCTGGGTTGCAGGCCAGGTCTCCAGTAGGGGGCGCATGAGAGGCAACCACACATCGATGTTTCTCTCCCTCTCTTTCTCCCTCCCTTCCCCTTTCTCTAAAAATAAATAAATAAAATCTTTAAAAAAATAAACACGCCCAAAAAACAAATGCTACTACATGGATGCACCTAAGGACGTTATACAAAGTGAAATAAACCAGTTACAGAAAGACAAGCACCACGATTCCACTTACACCAAGTACAGAGATGAGTCAACTAAGAGGAGCAGAAAGGGGCCAGGAAGGCAGCTGTGGGGCTGAGGGCGGGGGGAGGGCTGCCGTGCGGGGAGGGCAGCGTCTCAGCTCTGCGAGACGCGTGCGGTGTTGGTTGTGTAACAACGCGAACGTGCCTCACCCCGCTGTGCCGGACGCTGAACAACGGCTAAGGTGGCACATCATGTCGTGTGTATTTCACCACGGTTAGGAAACATGAACCAAAGGAACCCACGTCTAAAGCATTACAGGAAAATATGAGAACGATGCTCTGACAAATACAGGTCACCACGAGACAGGAACGATAAAGGAGCACACAGAGACCTTAAAGTTGAGAACCACAGCGCTTTAAATGAAAAACTCACTGGAAGGTCTAAACAGCATTTGCAGCTGGCGGAAGACAGAATCAGAACCTGAAGATGGGCCACAATTACTGTCTCTGTTTCTCTCGGGTGCTTGCTTTTTTGTTATTGTTTGTTTTCACTTTTTATTTTACTACCAAATCCAGTGAGGGTCCTTGTAGGGACAGAACTATGTATGACAAGGGCCAGGACGTGGGCCCCACGTTGGAATCCCTGAGAGAACGACCTCGAGGAAGGCAGAAAGAAGGCTTGGTGATGACCTAGTCACAGACTCATGGCAATGACCCCCAGCTACTCCACCAGTAATTTTCATGCAAATGACCACAGTCAAATCACCAATCAATGTGAGGGAAACATAAAGACATCATGCAAATTACCGTAGTCAAATCACCAATCAATATGAGGGAAACATAAAGACACTGCCAGACAAGCAACACCGAAAACCATTCACCACCCACGATAGCTTTCTCAAGGAACAACTGGGGGTTAAGCCAGGCAAGTGGGAGGGCAGGGAGAGAGGAGGACCCAGGACACAGGAAACAGAAAGTCCCACACGGTGGCAGACACAGGGAGGGCCCGGGAGGACAGCGGCGTGACAGAGGGGGGAGACGCTTAGCTCTCCCAGGGGCTTACACGAGATAAACCTGATAGAACACGTGGTGTCCGAACATCTCGGAAAATAAATCAGACAGTTGGTGAAAGCAAACCAAAGAAGCAGGCCAATTATTAACTCTGAAAAGATTTTTAAAAACGTGTACAGACAAACAAAAGGGGAAACAGAGAGTGAGGAGTGAGTTTACCACGCGGCTCAGGTGTGAAAGCACCCACATAACTGTAAAAATGTAAATACTCAGCGAGTTAAAGTCAGGATAACGTTCCCACTGGGAGACGGGGCACAAGACCCACAGCGGGGCAGAGGGAGGAGAGCCGACAGCACCCTCACCCCCTGGAAGGCCCCGAACTGCACGGCAAGAAGCAGCAGCCCGGCCCCACCACGGGGAGCAGCAGGAGCCGCCTCCAAGTTCAAGGTCCAAGGACGGAAGGGTACCCGGGGCCCAGGGAGAAGGAGGCTCAGACGCTCTTGCGTAATAAACAACCTGGTAGACTCACTGGTCTGCCGGCAACACGAGGCTGAGGTTTCGAAAAACTAGTTGATGAAAACAAAGAAACAACTGAGGAAGAGGAATCTCTAAGACACTAAAATGTAACTATCGCACTGCTTCTGGCCGCAGTCTGTCTCCCTGCAGTCTGTCTCCCTCCGTTTTCCCTGAGACTGCCCCACAGGGACACCCGCGTGGCTCCCACGTGCAGTAGGTCCCCCCCCCACTCACCTCGAGCAGAGCTGCGGCCGGGTCGCCCTGCAGGCTCTTCCCCAGCTTGTCCACCTCGTCCAGAAGGAACACCGGGTTGTTCACCGCCACCGTCTTCAGGCCGTTGATGATGCGGCCGGGCATGCTGCCCACGTAGGTGCGCCTGCAGAGAGCCAGCACGTGAGCGGGTGGGCGTGGGGGCGGGCGCGGGGGCGGCTCAGCGGTTACCCGAGTCTGGGGTAAGTGCCAGGGCACTGGGACCGCTGTGTCTCATTTAGGCCACTTTGTGAAACGGAGAAACACGCACTTGAGTCATAGCACTATGTATGGTCCCTGCCCCACGATTCTGAGACATCCAAACCCTGCCATTTAACCCCATACTGTGCAGTTTTCCAGAGCGCCCTCGCCATACCCCACCCCCGTTCACTAGGAACAGCAGAGTAACGAGGCCGGCGCCTGCCCACTGTCACTGTTACAGCCACACGAGTCTCTGGGTACAGCCTGGACAAAGTATGCGACCCCAGCCGCAGTTTCCTCACCTGTAAAATAGGGACTGTCACGGTGCCAACCTCGTGAGCACGGCAGGCACAGGACAAGCTTTCAGACACGTGACCTGTGCTTTCTATCAGTAACAACTACTGAAAATCCACGGACAGTATCTGCCCGCGACGGGCCCATCTCGCGCCAGGAGGAACGGCAGCGTGCAGCTCGCTGACGGAAGACACAGGGTACCTGTCCTTGAAGGGGGGAAGGGGCCTCTTTCATGCCCCTGAGGCAGGAGCGCGATGCAAACACAGCCAGGCCCGCACAGCAGACCCACGTCCCAATCTCCCTCAGACGCACAAAGCGCTCTGTGCCGCTCTGCGGGAGTGGAGTGGAGCGAGACCGCGGGTGCCGCGGGACACGGAACGCCTGCTCGGCCGAGCTCGCACTTGGCATGTACTCGGGGTTCCCGCAGTGATGTAACCACATTCTCTACCATGCAGCTGGTAAACTACTGCTGAAGAGTTTGTATCAGCCCTCGGCTGAGACCTGGCATAACGCTCGGTGCGCTCCTTCGAGGAGCAGCTAATGAGAAACAGGTCTTACGCAGACGTGATTCCATAAAAGTTCACCCTAAAAGAAGTCACGTTTAATTCCTATGAACTGACTTAAATTACTTAAATGCAACGCTTAAGTATAAAAATGTAAGTTGTAAAAACTGATACATGAGAACTGTGGCTTATAAGATTAGACAGAAAAATCCCAGTGGAGACAAACCCAGATGAGAAATGCGGAGAAGACTGAAAAACCCCACTCGTTAACACAGGGCATCAACATGACTGATCTTCCTTTAAGCCAATCGGAACGACAGGAGCAGAAAAACAGCTGGACCTTCTGGCTCACGGGCTGGTGCTCAATCCGCTGGGCCACGCAGCCAGGCCACCCGCGGACCGACACTCAGTCGGGTCGCTATCCCTTCCCCAGCGTGAGGTTTAAATGAAAACCGGTCTTTCTCGCGTCCCACCTCACTGCCACCGAACGCTCTGGCTCCTTTACAATCAGTTCCTACCATTACAGTAGCAGCTTCCTTCACATAAGCAAGCACTTGTGGCAAGAGCCCGCAGCCCCGAGCCTGGGAGAAGGAAGGAAAGTGAGGGGCGAATCGGCCGCACGACGAGGATGTGACATAAAGCAGCTCTGTTTGTCCTCAGCTGCTTCAAACCACAGGACAGTGCAGCCCACCCAGAGGCAGCAAAAGCAAAACTCCGCACGAGCCCCACTTGGGGGCATGTGACCTCTGCGCAAAGGCCCAAGACCGGCGACCAGCAGCTTCCGAATGCCCAAGGGTCACGGGGAGGGCTGGCCCCTCACAGCCCACCCTGCCGTCCCCCTCCGAGGCCCTGTCCTCAGGCTCTCCGCCCCCGACAACCGCACCCACTGTCCACCTGCTGCCCGACAGGGTTCCAAAGGAAAAGCCTCTGCAGGCGTGGACACCGACAACCAGACACCACAGAGGGCAGGCGGCTGTCCTGCCAAATGGAACCCCTGGCAGGGTGATGGCTGGGGGCGCTGCCCAGCGAGGCGCACGGAAAATCGGGCCTCGAGCCAACGCCGTGACCCGGAGGGGCCCCTACACTCCCCGGCTGGTGGCGAGCACTGACTCAGTCCACGCCGCACGCGTCCAGAGCACCACACCTGGGTGGTTCGGGCAGATGCGCAACCTTCTACCAAACAGTTTCTCTTCTCTACGTCCGGTTCTCCTCACGACAGTCACACGTGGGAGTCTACTCACTTGGAACGACGGAACACACTTCACAGCCATCAGTGTTGGCAGATGTAAGGCTGAGGTCTGCTCCTACCCGCCAGGTGTCACGGGAGGGGCTGAGGGCTGTGGTGCGGCCCACGGCCCACCAGCAGGGCTGCGAAAACACACCGCCCCACCGTTTGGCCACACAAATCAGACAACCACACCGAGGGCTGGAGGTCTGGGGTACAACTGAAGTCTCAGACTGAATTTTACAAAAAGGTGTATTGAAACATGAAAACCTAAACGCCCCCTGAGCATTTAGACTTAAAAGAGCAACGAAAGTTGACTTTGTGGACTGCTGCCCACGCCGGGGCCTTGGGGCCGCTTTTTGAGCCTCGAGGGATCGCCAACCCCAGTGTGGGAAGGAACAAGGGCTGACCACGTGTGTGTCACGTGCCCGAGATGCTAACTTCACACGAGAATAACCGAACCAGCCGTTCCCTGGCTCCCGTCAAAAACACGACACTGTGCTTGAGGTCACAAAAGAAGAAGTAACAAAACTACCCGGAGTGCCCGAGCCACATCACTCGAACGAGGAAGACCCCCCCCCCAAGCTCGGCAGCTGAAACTGGAGGACGCAGGCCCAGGAGCCAGCAGCCCCCAAACTGGTCTAATCTCTTTACAGAGCCGACTGCAGCCTCTAGTGGCGTGAGCGAGAATACACCACTCTCGGTAACAAAAAGAGCATTTGAAATTGCCAGAAAGAATGGTCCAAGTCCATTCCCTGACTAACCTGGGCGCTCACTGCTTATCCACTGAAATCTTGGAATGAGTTTTCTTTAATGCATGAGAACCGTAAGCAAACAAAAAAGAATAAAAAGAACCATTTCTCATGCCAGTTTCTGAAGCTTCCCTCCCGCCCCAAGGCCAGGGATCTTTGAAGAGCCAAGTGGAAAATCAGGTGCCTTAAAAGCATCAGATCCTTTCCCCACAACCCCAGTGCCATCCACACTGGCCTGTCAGTGTGCAGTGGAAGGGCCCTGGGCCCAGGGGGCACCGGCCACATGTGCAAGCCCCCACTCCAAACCTGGGTGTCCTCACTCCAAACCTGGGTGTCCTGCACGACCGCACGACCGAGGGTCTCATCTCGAGGGCAGAGGCTTTATGTCCAGCCTGATCGCTCTGACGGGAGCTCAGCAGGTTCTTTGGAACGCACATCTGAGTCCCGATTTGGCTCACACACACCCCCCACGTCACCGAGTCCGAGGTGCACAGCACGCCACGCCTCAGAGAAGCAAGTGCAGCCACGAGGTGCCCTGACCACACACATCACCTCACAGGCTGCCCTTGCTCTGTCCCCTGAGCCTGGGAAACAGGGGTTCACGCTGCCCCAAGCATCTTCCGTCTGAGCAGCAGCGTGCAGGGAGCTAACACGCATGCGATCCCACACAGCAGGAGAGCACTCAGTTCTCACAGCTCCATGTGTTTTCAGTGTCAATCACGCAAGGACGAGCCTGAACAGCGATGCTAACCTTTCCCCTTGTAACTCCTGTTCCCGCCATAAAGCAGCTTCTCAAACGAGAGTTTCAGCTGCAGACAGGAGAAACTGGCCATCGGGGACCTCCCACCCCTCCTCCCTGCCCTCTCCGCGCTGTGCCTACTCTTCAACCTCCCAGGGCTCTGGCCGCTACACCTGAGAGACTACGGGGCCAGAATGCGGTAAAAGTGCCTTCATCGTGGCCGATTTACACCTGCACACACGTGAGGCTCTGGGAGAGCGGAGGGGACCCCGTTATGGTGAGGCGCATGCCCCTTCCACTCACTCAGCACCCCTTAACAGTCCTGCAGAGAAAGCCCCGCTGTGCCTCCGGGCAGCCGAGTCACGAGGGGAGGGCGAGAGCAACAGACGCGGCCGGGGAAGGGCGCTACCTGTGTCCCCGGATATCGGACTGGTCGCACACGCCTCCGAGCGCGATCCTGTGGAACTCCCGGCCGAGGGTCTTGGCCACGGACCTCCCCACGCTTGTCTTCCCGACTCCAGGGGGGCCAACGAAGCACAGGATGGGGCCCTTCAGGTCGTGCTTCAGCTGCCGGACAGCCAAGTACTCCAGCACCCGCCTCTTCAGCTTCTCCATGGCGTAGTGGTCGCTGTCCAGGAGGGCCCGGGCCGCGCGGATGTCCAGGCGGTCTGCGGAGGGACCCGACAACATACCTGGCGTGAGCGCGCGGAGTTGGGGGCGGAAGGCTCCCCTCAGGCCTGGCGGGGCCCAAACATCGCTCGCGAAGAGAGGGGCGCAAGGGCAGACTCGGACCCCCCACTGCCTCTCCGGGGCAGACCCGACCTGGTGGCCCCCCTAAGACGCAGTCACCACAGAAACAGGAGGGGCTGCACCCAAACGTGAGGAGCTGACACTCCCACCATTTTCTCTGGGACGGTTTTCTGGATACAGGTTTCTACGGAAACAATTTCTGCACATTCTGTCTGTTCGGGCACTTGCTTTCGAAGTGTTTTTTCCTCCTACTACTTCTGTCCTGTGTGCTCATGCCAGAAACCCCGATGGCATTCATCAAAAAGAGTCACCTGTCACCTCCCGCCCCAAGACGGCACCGCTGCCCCCTCTCTGGTAGGTGCTATTCCAGGTTCTCGGCGTGTGTCTCCTACGTCCTGCTTTTCAAAGCGGCAGCCTCATGAGACCGGGTTTGGCGAGGGGTTTTCTCACCCAGTACACTACGCACATCTTCCCGCGTCCAATGTATTCCTCAGTGGTACTGGAGTGGCTGCGTAACATCCCGTCATTTACGTATGTGTGCTCATTTAACTCATTCCCTGCGGCCGCGCGTTTAGGTTCTCTACAGATCTCACAGTTACAAAGCACTCTTCCCAGTGCCTCCTTTTAGCTAAATCTCCACATTTACCTGGCATTCTTTCCTTTACCTGGTCTTCTATAGACAGAAGTGCAGGAGGAAAAAAACACACTAAGACACAAGGACATGCCCGAGTCCCGCTGATCACGGCGTCACCAGAGGTGTGAGCTGGGCTGTTTCCGAACACAAGCTTTCACCAGGTTCCCTGACGCGCTGTGTACTTAGAACACTCTCACAGATGAAACGGCAGGTCGGGGAAGCCAAAATAAATGGCTCCACGGGCAGCAGTCGGGGTGAGGCACGGCCGCCGGACCACATTCCCAGAGAAAGGGGGGGAGAGGGAGGGAGAAGCGCACACAACCCACCCTTTCCCCGGGTGTTCGGGACTCGCTGGTGTTTTTCACAGGAGAAGAATGTCTTTCAGTAAGAGTTCAGCTCCCGAGACGCTGTGTAAAACCCCAGCTAAGAAGCAACACACGTAATTTAATTGAAGGACTATTGATTTCAGTGAGTCCCGGCTGAGTGATTAGGCTTTGTTCAGAACCCAACCAATAAATGTGAATAAACCAAAGAGTGGAAGTTCCCCAACTGTTTGCTCAGCACTGACCTTGGCACTGAGACCTGGCCCAACAAACTCCAAGGAAAACTCCAGAATGATTCTACACAGTGTCTCCAAAGACCAAAAAGTCCCGCGGGGTTTGCGTTAGCTGGGCCGATACGAGGACACCAAGGCATTTATTGTATCACCACAGCCACGGAGAAACCGTCTCACTGAGGTGTCATTTTGTTGGTAACGGTTTTATAATGCAACATCTATTCCTAATTAACGTCTAGTAAATTAAAAACCAAATTCTATGCAACGCAGAAAAAAAAATAATAATACTGTGAAGGAATTTCTTCCAAGAAATGTGCCAAGTAAAGAAAATTTTAAAAAGGAAGTTCCTCCGAACTTGTGAGAAGAGACCAATCCCACACTCTACACGCGTTCCTTCCGGCTGCCCTTTTCAACGGCTCGGATGGCACACTTCCTGTTTTGAATAATACAGGTGGTTACGTGGGAAATAGTTTAACCTCACTTGAACAAATTTCCCTATTTACACTGGAAGTTTGAAATGGTCCCACTGGCTCCTTCCGCTCAAGGACGGAACATCAGAAAACCTGCGCCCCCCCCAACGCTTCTGCTCCCCCGGCTGAGGGCCTCTGCTTGCGTGGCAGCAGCGCCCTGGGGCGGCACAGAAGGCCTTTCCGCGGTCTCCTCGCCGCGCCCACAGCGCAGTTAGACCTGGGTCTGCCCGGGCCGGCGGGGCCAGGCACTCGGCACACGCCTTCGCCATAGTCCCCTACTCTCTGCCCGACGACGGGCCGCGGCCTGGCTCTACAGCAGACACGTGCTCAGTTTCTGGCACGTGAGTGGCCCCCTTCCCTAGGTGTAAAAACAGTCATTGCTTTGCCCTGTGTGTATGCTGTCTTGGCTATTTTCGTAAAAAATGGGAATCAGCTCTCTGTTCAATAAACATTCCCCCCCCCCCCAAGTCGCTACACTTGTACTGCACACACCCAGTAAAAACTCCCGGAATGTAATTAATTTCACGTTGTAAACAGGACGTGTGCGAGGCAGGAAGCTGCACGCCAGTTCCCAACGGCGCAGAATCAGAGCTGCATTTCCGTGTCCTCAGGTCATCACACCACATGCCCCCTGCGTTTTTCCTCGGTCACTAGTGAAAATCAATCCTGCGACACAGGACAATGCTACCGAGAAAATGCGTGTCGTGCAAAGAGAGAGGCGTCGCAAACTCATCGGCAACACAGACGGAGGCCTATCGGTCAGGCACTGGCTGCGAAGGGAAACGCCCCTTCCTCTGCGGGGGGCCGGCAGGACTGGGCGGGTGGGCACAGGTCACTGGGGGGTCTGCAGGGTCCGGAGTGAGGAGAGGACCACCTGAACCGAATGGTACTGAGAAACACATGTTTCTCAGCTACGGAAACCCTGCTTCCTCTGAAATCGGGCACACGGGACTTGCAGGGGTGCCTCCTTTTCCCATCCAACCCCAAGACCTCGGCGCCGGGAGTTCCGTGTGCACACCGTTCACGCCAAGGGCAGGAGGACGGCCGCGGGCCAGCGTCCCCGCAGAAGCTGCGCGCACGCGTGTGGCCCACCAACGGGACCATAACCAGGCTGGTGCCAGCCAGCTCACCGGTCGTGCTCTTGTTCCAGGGAAGTTCCACCATGAGCTCCAAGTAGCTCCTTGTCAGGGTGTATTCCGGCATCGACTGAGGCATCTTTTTGAGTCTGCGGGGAAAGAACACATAGCAAACATGTTCAGGAAAAACGCACTCCATAAAAAGAAAAAACTCAGCCTTATCTCCGCTTTTTGGCCAGACACGTCACCGTATTTGGTTAACCGAATCTGGGAAGTTTTGCCTGTCTAGTGAACAAAACATTTATTCTGTTTGGAAGGTACGCTGCAAAACACAATTAAAGCGATACCTGCAAACTGGGGGGAGGGTGGGGAACCCGGGTCTGACGGTGGCCTTGAAACGTGGCCTAATCGGAGTCGGCACATCACGGAGTCTCACGTCACGTGTGGCCACGATCTCCTCACCACAGTGAGACTTCAGTGCCCTGCCCCACACAACTGTGTTTTACGTCGGAGCTGAAGTCGCACAAGGACGCTCTGGCACTGGCTGTCAAGATGCGGCCCCGACGGTGTACGCAGGGTGGCCGTGTTCTGTTCACACAGGGCGTCACTATGAAACGTCCCTCAGCTGTGCACATTGAGGCTCATAACTGTGAGGCTCAGACAGTGAGCCCTGAGTGGGGCCTGTCATGATTCACCGATACGAGACACTAAAATGTGGCTGTGATGGCAGAGGCACCCCATGGCCCACCCGAACGTCACCCCCCACAGAGAGGCGGACCGCCCCGCCCTCTGAAGCACACGGTGACCGTGGAGGACACGGTGAGCAAACAGGCATGCCGTCTACCCCCAGGGTGGCCTGCTCCCCAAGACAACAGACACGGCAGTGACCGCATCTGACGCACACCCAGCATGTGGAAGGGTGGACCCGCGCATGCTCAGCATCGCAGGAGGAGAGGAGGGGCAGTGCCGTGAACCCAGGGGCAGGAAGGCCGTGCCAGGGGGTGAGGGATGAAGAGGGGACCGTCCTCCTGACCACGGCGAGAGCCTGAGAACTGGGGAAGGCAGGGGGCCGAGAGCTGCCGACGCAGGGACAAAGGTGGACAGAGTGGTCCGAGTCCACGCTAACGAAAGAAATGGAGAGAGAGCGGAGCACCTTGCTGACCGACTCGCCTCTCAGTTTCCGATGCAGAGCAGCAGGTCCGTTGTCACGGGCGACACTTTCACACATGAAGGCGGGGAGAGCCACCGACTCACCGTCTGATCTCTTTGACACAGACCTTGTGGGCCTGCTCCGGCATGTGGGACGTTCGGATTTTTTTCTCTAGCATGACAATGTCATCGTTATCTTCCTCCTCCTCCTCGTCTTCTAAAGTGCCCGGGAGGGGCATGACCCTCCGAGTGGGGCGGACAGCTATCACCTACGGGAGAAAGGGGGGGGTGAAACCGGGTGTCAGCCCACCCTGGAGATGGACGGAGCTCCCAGCCACACTGAAGCTCACGCTCGGGCTGAGTAAACACTCTATGGCTGCTAGCGACTAGATCCTCAGAAACCAAGGTTCAGAGCAACCCCTCCCAGGCACACGCAGAGGTGAAGGTGGCAGAAAGCGACAGTCGACCACGACCACGTGGTGTGACTCTGTGGCATCTGCCCACAGCACCTTGGAGGAACATCACTGGGAAACCGACTGCCAGAGGCAACGAAAGCATGAGGCGGGGCACCCTTCTTCGCACTGCTGTCCCCGCCACTGGGCCCCGGACACACGCACCACCCACGGCTCCACAGCTGAACCGATCCCACCCTGCCTCCGACATCTCAACCTCTCCACGTGTCTGTCCTCCCCACCATCACCGCGGGTCTGTGTCTGGGACACACGGGGAAGGAAGCCTTCCTCCTCTCGGAACAGCTGCTCTGACCCGCATCCCTCCCAGGTGCCACCCCCAGCGACTTCCTTCCTGGGAAGCTCTGCCTTTCCAGCCGGGTGCGGGGCTTCCCCTCCCCTCCCCTCCCCTCCCCTCCTCCCCTCCCCTCCCCTCCCCTCCCCTCCCCCTCCCCTCCCCTCCCCTCCCCTTCCCCCTCCCCTCCCCTCCCGCGCCACACTGCTTCACCCAGGGCACTTCCTACAGGCTTCCGTCTGCACCCCGCGGACACAGTCCTTCACACAACCATGTTGAGAGCCTGCCTGTGCGCCTGTCCCATCCCTGACGTAGTGACTGAGCTCCAGCTGTCACTGCAGCAAAATGTGCTGCTGGCATTGCATTCAGAAGCCTCAGAACTCTCTTTTTTAGCCCATGACATGACCCATTTACTACGTTGAAATATAAAAAGTTAAAAATGCAAAGCAGGGAACAATAACGTAACTTTATAAAAACAGAAATGTTAAATATATACTTTTAGCCCTACACAAGCTGGTAGCAGGTAAAAGTCAATAAAGTATAAAAAACTGAAAATGCAATATTTTATTTCAGAGTGAGATTAAAAATAAAGCACATCAATAAACAAAGCTTCACCGTTGGGATGAAGCGCTTTTTCACGCAGAACCCCTCCCCACTGCTCCGAGAACAGTGCTCAGAGTCCACAAGGAGGTTGTCGACCCCAAACAGGGCCCTGAGTTTCCCATTTTTGAATACTGCCCCCACCGGGTGATTTTCTGGAAAGATTCTGAACAGTTTCTTTTTGAGTAATGACGACGTCTACTGACAGCGAGCTGCCGTTTTCTACCTCCCAATGCAGAGGGTGCCCCGGCCTGTCCTGCCTCAGACGAAGAACTGAGTTAACAGTGTGATCTCATGCCAGAAACGATTGGGACTCGTGGCGTTTGCTTTAAGCAGCGCGGTGTGTGGGAGTACACACCCCGGAAGGCTGCTCCCTCTCTCGGCTTCCTGTCACTCCTCCTTCCATCTGTCCACCCATCCGTCAGTCCGTCCCAGCAGGGGCAGAGCCTTCGCCTCCACTCTGCAGCTGTCAGACCTCTGGCCTGGCCCTTGACCACTGGCTGCGTCTCCGAGGGCCTGTGAGGACCCTCCTTTCCACCCCTGCCCGGGTCGGGCAGGGTTTCCTGATCTCAACTCTGCCCACGGGGCTCGCGGTCTTTGCCTAATGTTACGTTCCGTAAAAAAAAAGTTATACTCAGACACTCGGAGTAAACCTTTGCTGATTTTTAAACCATAAAAAACAGTGAAAACTACACACAATGTCTGGCAGAAAGGAGAATGGCTGAGTACATCATTCTTTTTTGATGATCACCGAAACAAAATCTGAGAAGAGAAAATGTTCACCTGCTCAGAAAATAAAAAAAGATTCTGGCATGAAAAAGACTAGAGGGAAACATACTAAAATGGAAAATTTTATCGGTAGCTCGATTGGTAAGAGACAATAAACTTTCCTTCTGCTGGCTGCTTTATTCCCTCCCCCCTTTTTTCCTTCAAAGAGCACCGAGTCTGGTGGCACGTGAGGACAACTGGGAACCTGGGGACGTGGGTCACTGGAAGTACTTGCCCGCTCATCCCCGTCCTGCTTGTGTTTCCTGGTTTTCTGGAGCAGCTTCAGGCCTTCGATCTGCCGCGCGAGCAGCGGGATGGTCATCTTGAAGCGCTCCTCCAGGCTCACGGCATCTAAAATCTAAGGGGACCGCGCCGTGAGAGACCCGCTCTCCCGGAGCCACGCACGCCCGAGGCCGGCGCCCACAGTCTTCACAGCTGCCCTGTGGCTAACGCGACCCAATTAACTAGACCAATCCCACTGTCTGACGCCAACACCAGAACCCCCCGAAGCAGGAAAAGGGCAGCCCGAGTTTTCATTTAGAAATGAAGCTGCGTGTGCTGTTCCAGGAGCAAGAACAAAACCCACGCTTCATATCAGCTCCTTCTGGGAATTCTCTTACAGCTGAGACTGTGTGTCAGTATTAGGTGTGAGCAAGTTCCAGGTTCAAGATATTAAAGTCTCTCTCTCTCTCTCTCTCTCTCTCTCACACACACACACACACACACACACACACACGAGACTAGAAGCGCTTTAAGCACCTCCCACGCCAAGTTGTCCGAGCGCTGAGCCCCTACACCCTCGGACTGCTACACCCAGCAGAACTGCTGTGCCCGCGCCTGCCCGCGCCAGGGACTGGGGCCCCTGCGACCCCCACCCCGCCGGCCGAACCGAGCTCCGGGGCTACACCCAGCGGTCTGTACTGGCTGCACCTGCTGGACTTGAGTGTTAAATAAACAGATGAAGTAAGGAGGGTTGTTCCATTGCAAACCAGCTTCAATGTTCTAGGACGATTCCAAAAAGCACACTGCTAAAAAATACTATAAAAATAAGTTTGCAAGAGAACTTTCATGGTTTGGGGGAAATGCAAATCTACAACTTTGTACTTGTATTCTTTTTCACTTGAAAGACACAGAAGTGGAAATCTGCAGTGAACTTGCCCTGATGGCAGTCCCCGTGAGAAACACCAGACATGGTAGTGGCAAGATCGCGGCGCCACTGGCTCAGAATCGCCGAGACAGAGTTTTTCACAGCAAACATCTGCCGTCGTCACTATTCTCTGCTTCAGCCTCCTCCGTGAACTGACAAACAGCTACCGCTGACAATGTGGTAATGGCCATCGCCTTCAGAGTGGACGTAACTACTTCCGTGAGCCGCAAGTGTCCCTGACCTGGGTCCAAGTTCACTCCCCATCTAGACCCAACCGACAAGTGGCAACCCAAGTCCGCCCTCCAGCAGGGGGCGCTACCTGGAGCTTCTCCTTGTTGCTGGTGCGGATGATGGAGGTCAGAATGTCGGGGAGCGCCTCCCTGGGAAGGCTGTCCAGGAGCTGCCTCAGCTTCGCTACGGCGGGGACAGACATGTCCAACATTTCGACCAGCTGCAAGGGGAGAGAAAGACGCCTGGTGTGAGTGCCGAGTCTCGGAACTCAGCTGCACACGTGCCATGTCTGGGCCTTGACCCCTGTGGCTGTGGTCAAGAGGTCACTGACTGTCACAGCGCAGGGTCCGTGCGGCCTCAGAGGGGTCCGTTCAGGACACCCACCAGAATGAAGAGCAAAAATGGCTCAAAGAGAAGTGCATAATAGTAATGTTTAAAAAAGTGTTATGAATTTGTGATTTTATTTTAAATTACATTGAGAAAATAATGGACATCTACAGAAAAGTGGCATCAGTGCAATAAACTGTATGTCCTTCCCTAACCTCACCAACTGTGAACACTTGCCGCACTGCCTTGCTTTCTTTCCACACTTCCACTCCCACCCGTGACCACTGCGCAGCACGGCAGAGAAGCTGCGGGCACCCTGGCCCTCGCTCCGAGAACAGGGCCTTCTCTTACAGAATCGCAGCACGATCGGTAAGTTCTGGAAGCTGAATGTAGCTGACGCTTTTCCGCCAACCAGTCAGTAGCTGAAACACTGCTCTTCAGGAGGACATTTGGGTCCACGAGAATCTGAACACGGACTGTGAACGAGTTTTGTGAATCAGCTTCCAGGGTGCATGGTGGTGTGGAGCACGTTCTGTTCAAGGCCACTTTCAGTAACAGTAGCTGGGGTCGTTGGCGGGGCCGCTGACAAAGACCCCGCCTTCCTCTGGGCACCTGGTAGGACTGCTTTCCCACCTGTCCTGGACACCCAGGTGGCTGTGAGCCCCTCCTGCCCTACAAACAGGAGGGGGAGCGCCAGCTCCTGCTGGCAGAAGCCTCACGGCCTCTGAGAGGCACTGTGCCCTTTTCCCGCCCCAGGGCAGCGGAGGCACTGTTGAGACCAGCCTCCAACTCGCCTGGGTCCCTCGCTCAGAATTGATCTGCTACTCGCTGCACCTTCCGGCGTCACCGTCGGGCACGGTGTCAGCTGGCACAGTGTCAGCTGGCGCAGTGTCTGTGACCAGACGTCCAAACCAGCGTAGCTTGTGTAACTCGGTGCCTCAACACTCTGTGATGAACAGCAGTATTTTCATTTTTAAAGTTGTTTACTTTCAATAGCTGTCTGGTTCGGAGATACTTCAGCAGCTATAAGGACAATTCTAGGAATGCTTTTTGGGAAAAATGTCCAAAGGGTTGACTGGTATGTCCTAGAATGACTCAGGTATCATCCTGGAGATGGGCAAGTTGAAATTAACGCACTGCTAAATCAGGTCAACACAGGCTGCCCTGAAACTTCACCGCCCGCCGAACCGGCCCTCTCTCGGGGCGGCAGAGGCGCCGGAGGGCAGGCGCCCCGAGGACAGGTCTGGCGGCGGCTCACCTGCACGGCGTACTTGTAGAACTGCTCCGACAGCTCGCCCAGCCCCTCCCTCGCCCCGCCACCGCGGGGGCGCTCCTCCAGCCGGTCCAGCTGCTCCACCTCGGCAACCGGGTACGGCTTCTCCTTCAGAACCTGGATGATCTGGAAGCGGCACAGGCCGGTGATCAGCAGGGTGTAGTGGGGCTTCGGCCAGTTGCTGCCCACCACCTGCACGGCCAGGGCGGCCGTCCCGATCCTGGAACACACACACAAGCACCCGCATTACAGACGTTCAGTCTACGGACACAGGCACCCACCTCCCAAGCCGCTGCCTCATCTGGGAGCTTCGCTCGGACTCAGAGAACGTGCTGCTCCGTGTGACTTGGCACCGGGGCTCGGGGGCCCGGTCGCTGCCATCGGCCCGGGGCAGTGCCTTCTCGTCAGCACCCCTTTCAAGAATTGGGTAGAATCCAAATCCTACACATTTGGATTCTTTAGGCATAAAAACATAAAAGTAGTTGACAACTACATAACTTGGTTTTCCTACCTCGGCATGAGGTAATCCTACGGCAGAGTAAGTGTTAGCGATTTAAACAGACTTACTCAGCATGATGTAAACCAACGGAAGGGTCTCTGCTCCAACACCCAGTCTGAGCTGGGACTTTCACGAGGCCTGCAGAGCTCCTACAAACCCTCAACACCAAGTGAGGTCTGGGAATTCACACACACTCTTAACCATGGAGTTTCTACAAGCGGTGGTTAAATACCAGAGGCCCACAAGGTCAAGGTCACGGTCACGGAGTGGGGGAGTTAGAGACCTACATCCATCTCCAGAGGGTACACACTGAATTCTGTTCTCTGGTAGTCACCTCGCCTGATACAAGTTGAAAAGCCTGTATTACACTTAAGTCTAAACTGCTTGTAAAACACATGATGCTGACCACATAACATACAAATTTAGTTCACAGAGAGGAAGTCCCATCCAAACTAAGCCGAAGTGATACAGAGTAGGAAGATCGATGTTCAGAAGACACTTCCAGATCCTAAACTGAGACTGTATTTTCTCTCTTTGGCCAGAGAAAAGGCCATAATTTCAGAAAGGAACTGAAGGGCCCAGAGCCCCCGACACCCTGGGCACAGTAACACTGCCCTCGCCCCTCAAACAGGACACGGCACCTGCAGACGGGGCACAGGATGGACCTGGTGCGTCTGTGCACAGGCACCACACACGTGGCCGCTCCTTGCAAACCCCTCCTGTAGGTTGCGAGTTACCTCGGCTGGACAGCGTTCCCCACCACCCTTCCAGCCCTATCACGGGCACAGGGGTAAAAACTGACTTAAACACTCGTTTCCACCAAAAAGGCAGGAAGATAGTTTGGTGGGGAGAAAGAAGCCCTACGCTTTAGAAACTGGACACGCCGTGGCAACGATCTATTACAGAGTCATCTGTGTTGTGGCTGCTGAAAGGGGGTGTCTCCCCCGTTTCCTGGAAACCAGCTCAGGCTGCCTGAGCAAGTTGGCGCAGCCGGAGACAGAGACCAGCTGAGACCTGAGTTCACTGCGGACGGAGCTCACTGATCGAGCTCTCTCAGTGCGGGAGGAGTCCAGGACTGTCCACTGGCCGCAGCAACCGGTGGGGAGCCGGGTCCCTGGCCCCAGGGGTTTGCAGCCTGGGAACCAGAGGGAGAGGGGAGGTGACCCCAATGCCCAGATCAGGAGATGAGCTTATTTATTTGGGCCGCATCACTGATCATAGGAGAGACTAAAAACGGGTTTTCTCACAATGCCGATAAAATGCTTCCGCTACCTGGGAAAAGAAGAGGTACGTACACTGCGTCCTTCCTCCTGAGAAGACAAACTCTCCAGAGGTTCGAAAGCAGGCTAGTCGGCTCTCACTCCCAGTCACTCACAGCTGACTCGAACGTGCCCCTTCAAAGAAACCCAGTGTCGCACGGACTTTGGTTCCCAGGGCACACAGAGGCTGTGCTCGCCCCGTGTGGCAGTCTGCTCAGCAGCACGGTGCCTTCGGTGACAATGCCCATCCGTTCACTAGGAAACGCTTTCTGACTTTCTCCCCAACAGACTCAGACACCCCGTCCCAGTGGCACTCCGTCTCTCTCAGCGCCAGGTGTGGGGCCGAGGCTGGTGACGCCCCCCACCCCAGGGTAGGTGGGGGGACAGGCCTGCGCACCCTCCCGCTGTCCGAGCACCTTCCATTCCTAGCAACCCTCCAGACCAGCCGACTCAGAGGAGGGAGAAGTGGGGACGTCACTAAGGGTTTTGAAAACAACATCCTATCACCTTTTTTTAAAAAGAGGGCTTGGCGCCAGGAGGAGAGAGCCGGTCAGAGACGGATTCTCTGTGCGGGTCTTGCAGGGGGAGAGGAGCCAACTAACGGGACGAGGGAGCCACAGTGTCACTCAGGAGCAGGTGCTTGGCTGTCACGTGACTGCGCTGGTGACCGGTGGCACTGTCCCCACCATCCCTGCCCTGTCTCTGGGTGTGGGGGAAGGCAGGAGAGCTCACCCAGTGTGTCGATGGGCAGCTTGAAAAAGAAAGGAAAAAAAAGAAAATGCTTTACTGGTAGCAAATGCGCTCCGCCTCTGAGCCTTCACGGCCGTACTCCCTTTGTGGGGGGGGGGGCGGCCGGTGGGGAGGAGGCCTCGCCGTGATGCCGATGGCTGCCCACTGCTGGGGGGGGTGCTGGGCGCTGTGGCAGTTTCTTGACACGAGACAGCACGAACCCCAGTGCACCGGCTGACTCCTCCCTTCAGGAGGGACTTCTCTGCAGTGCGCACTGCCGTCACCGGCATCTCACCCGCCGAGCCCGGGCACTGGAGTCAACCCCTGCAGTCCTGCCGCTGCGGTGCTAGCTAGAGCTTTGTGACACCCCAAACCCTCCGCTACCTTTCTACTACCTCCCGCTGCGGCCACTGAGTGGGCTCCATCTCGGGAAACTGCTCCTTGCTCGTCCGCCAGGTGCGCCCCTCACCCACGCGAGTCCTACACCGAGGCCACGACAGCCGCTCCCACCTCCAGGCCCACTGCCGATGCCAGACTGCCCGCCGCTCCCTCCACGGCCGCAGTCACTTCCTCTGCCGGAGTCACCCCAGGGGGCTGGAATCTCATTCTTCCCAATTCCTGCTGATGCTGACACTCCGACTTCTTCCCACGGGTTGAGAATGCCCCTGGTGGCATCAGGAAGGTGACTCCTTCCCTGGGGTTTCCACGTCGCTCTGCCCAGACCCACCGGGGGACCCCTATCTAGGAGATTATTTTCCCCAGTAGTAAGACCCGCAGGTCGGAATTACTCCTTGGTCCGCGGGCTGCAGAGTGGGCGCCATGTGAGCAGGCGTGAACGCACTCGCCAGCCTTGTCCGTCTCCGTTAGAGCTCTTGCAGAGGGAGCTGCATTACCAATAGTGGTCGTATTTGGAAGAAAATTCGGAACAGGTCTCAGCAGTGGCCTTAAACTAACCAGTGACCCGTGCTGTGCACAGGTGTGTGCGCCCCAGGGCGTGCGGTGCGTTTACCGGCACCGGCACAGTGGAGTTAGCATCACTCTGACGGTCCCCAGGGTTTCCGGGCGGCGTGTGAGCATCGGCCCCGAGGAGGGAGCCAGCCTGTCCACCTCCGGAGCTTTGAAGCCCGGCACCGACTCCTCCCCAGCCACAGGAGTCCTCATCGGCATCTTCTTCCAACAGAAGGCTCCTCTCTGCTTTGGAGACCTGCTGTTCGCCGCAGCCACCTTCGTGCATTGTCTCAGCCAGGCCTTCCGGAGACCACGCCGCGCCCCCTGGCGCCTCATGGCGTGGAGAGGGCTTCTGTCCTCAGCCCCCATGAGCCCCTCTGCCAGCGGCGAGCCTTTCTTCTGCAGCCTCCTTGCCTCGCGCAGCCTTCACAGAATTGTGGAGCGTTCGGGACTGGCTCTGGACTAGGCTGTGGATGGAGGGAAGGTGGTGGCTGGGCCGGTCCTCCCTCCAGACCACTGACACTCTCCCCATGACCAGCGACAAGGCCGTCTCCCTCTCCCATCATCTGTGTGCTCCTCAGAGCGCTCGGCACCTTGATTTCCCGCAGGAATGCCTGCTTCCCACTCGCCCGGTGTCAGCTCGAGCTGGCTTTCCACACACTTCCTCACTGAGCTTAACCCTTTCTAGCTTTTGATTTTAAGGGAGAGATGTGAGACTCCTCCTTTCACTGGAATACCCAGAGGCCATTGCAGGGTTACTCTACGGCCTAATTTCAAAACTGTTGTGTCTCAGGTAACAGAGAGGCTGTGGACAGGGAGTGAGATGGGCCACAGCCAGTCGCTGGAGCAATCAGGACACAGCCCGCCAGCAAGTTCCCACTTACATGGGTGCAGCCCACGGCACCCCAAAATGACTGCAATAGCATAGCAGCATCAAAGATCAGGGGTCACAGGTCACCAGGACACGTACAACAACGAAAAGGGCTGGGACACTGAGAATGAGCAGGCTGTGACAGAGACAGGACGTGAGCATGCGCGGTGAGGAGCGCGTACAGACACCCGCCCAATGACGCAGGGCTGCCCCAGGCCTGCACCGCGTGCACACCCAGGGTCTGAGAAGGGCCCACAGCACACACACCTGTACTTCAAAACAGGAGTTAAGCAAACAAAGTAGCCAGTTAACTGAATACTTTCCTTCTTACTAGTAGCACTTGATACATAGTAGACCTTGTATCAAGTTGGTCACCTTTCTAAATAACACACCCTTTACTGGGCATGACCAAAAAGCAACACTTCGACTCTGCCGCAGATCAGGGTCTGGACCGACCACCGGCGCTGCTTCCTCTCCAGGCTGCAGCCGTTCTGGGGATCCGCACCCTGAGCGCTGTCCTCTTTTAAGGTCCAAAGACTTTCTGAAAGTCCTAACTGGGATCTACCCTCAGATGAATGCAAATTTAGGAAGCTCTAACTAGAGCTAATCATGACACATTTGCTACTATAGAAGATTAAAATTTAAAACCTTACTATCACCAGTATTTCCTTGGTCGGTGCCGCAGAATCCTAGCAGATAGAACCAGGAATCAGGCACAGGCCGTGGGTCCAAATGACAAAACTGAACACCTGCACTACATATATGACGCATTCGTTTCCCGTTAGACAACTGCTAAGGAAACTAGTTTGGGGTCTCGGAGGCGGAGAAGGAGCCACAGGATGCAGAGGCGTAGAAACCAGCCCTGATGAACAGGAGGGCAGAGGGAGGTCAGACAACATGACCTGCATGCAGGCGGTGCAAACTCGTACACGTATTCATTAAGAAAGCAATGGGTCCCTCCGGAGCCACTAAAAATACAGCCCAGTTAAGCAGGGTGGCCTGCGGTGGCATGGGCGCTGGGTCCCAAGTCCCAGCCTGCAGGGATGACCCACAGCTCTTCCTGGGAAGAGGCCTGGCGTCAGGTACTGCTTGCACCCCAACAGGCGGAACAGGGCTGTGGTTCGGGACCACAGAGGAGCTGGTTCCGTAAGTCAACATCTGGCCCCGCTCTTCCGTGTGGCAAGGAGCCCAGGGGACAGACTGACTTCTGCTGCTCCTGCAAGACTCTGTCAGTGTCCCCTGGATGGTGTAAAGGAACAGACGGGAGCAGAGGGAGCCCCGGCCTTCCCCACGGAGACTGCCGTCTGGCAGAGCAGGTAACCCACGAGGGAAGACTGCATAGCAAAACAGAATAATGTTATGAGTAACTCGATGTCTGTGCGGGTAAAGTGGGTTTTTTTATTTTTTTAAGTAAAGAGTGCTCCAAGATCATGTCAGAGAAAAAAGACAATGGGAGCGTGGCCGTTCCACACCGACTGTCCAGGAAGCAAACAGTGTTCCTGGGAGAGCTGGGTGGTCTGGTGGGTCCTTCTGAAGCTGGAATTCTATGAAAAATTTTCTAACTTAAGTGAATAAATTTTAACATCGCTATTCATGCAAAACAAAGGCAGCAACGTGAGCCTCGAGGGCCAGAGGTCGCCCCATCTGAATCTCAGTGCCCACTTCCGGGCAGGAGGGTGCAGGGTCCAGTTACTGGTCTTTTCACAGGGACTTACATCAAAGAAATTAAAAAACCCTCCAGTATCTGGCCAGAATAATACCGACACCCAGTCCCTCCAACCTATGCTAGGGCTACACACGCCTCTGAGACTCACAGCGTGCCCACGGGTAATCACCGTGCATGCGCACAAGAGGAAGACAATGCAGAAATCAAACCCTGGCCGCTCCGATTCGACAGGCACCTAAGTGCCTGGGCACGGGAACTCAGGGAGGGGTCAACAGAGCCTTTAGGGTCGGGTCAAGAGTCAGGGGTCAGGGTAAGGAAACCAGCAACTGGTACAATTCACCAGAGTTCACTGGACCTGGAAAGTGTCACCCCAGCCTGGCTCCGGCAATCCCCGACGGACCGAAGCCAAAATGTTGGGAAAAGCAAAGTTTTCCCAACACAGGCTGATAATGGGCTGTTCGCTCTCTTGGGGTTTGTTTTGTTCAGCTTTGTTTTGGGGGATGGGGGAAGAGGCTCTAGTCTCCTTTGGGAATTTGAAGAAAGCTACTGATTTGCTTTTTAAAAAAATGTATCCAGTCACAAGGTTTTGGGTAAAAACGAGGCTGTCTTAAGGCTCCCACGGAAACCCACGGAGCCTGAGCCTGGAGGCCTGAAACTTATGTGAGGGTACCTGCAGGCAAACAAGGGGCTCTAAGGTGGAGACCCCTCAAGGCGAGCTAGGGATGGGAGGCGGGGGCCTGGGAGGTGGGTCTGAGGGGCCAGCAAATGCAATGCAAGTCACACACACAGTTTTAGTGCTCGCATGATAAGATAATCAGATACAGGCAAAAATGCTAATGTTTTGTTTAAGTGCGAAGAGCCAAAATCTTACCATTCCAGGGCCTAGTCTACAGAAAATGTAGTCCTTCAGTGGATTACTAAAGGACATCAAGTCTTCAGATCAAGTTTTCCAAATCTAGTGTGTGTGGTACATTTACGGTGCACGTTTAGGGTGAGGGGTTTGTCTGGGACCAAGGACTCTTTCAGTGAGAAAACCAGGAGAGTCCTCAGCAAATGGGGACGATGGGCCATTCCAGCGTCCCAGTCTGCACCAGTGGCTAGTGCCCACCATCTGGACAGGCAACTAACTCCCTGCCAGGCAGTGCAAAGCAGACGACACATTATTTCACTTGATCTTCCCCCACACACCCAAGAGATGGACCATTTGAGTCCACGTGCGAGAGGAAGAAAGACACAGACACAGACACAGGTCGAGTCTCCCAACCAAAGTCACACAACCACAGCCAGGGCGCAGGGCGCTCTTTTGGAAAACAGGGGCCTGAGAAATGCTCAGAGACAAGGTGCAGAGATGAGGAGCGAGCGCCAGGGGAGGAGTCAAGGGCACCTGTGAGCAGGAAAGGCCTGTTCAGAAGGAAAACAGGGAGGGGAAGAGATGGGGCAGGCACGGGAGTGTGGAAGACAGGCGGCCGCCAGTTAATGGCAGGGGTGATGCGGTTCAGGATGGGATAGAAAAAAAGGAAAACCTGCGGAGTAGCGAGTGTCACAGTCCAAAGTCTGAAGTGACAGGCAGGAAGGGAAGGAAGGTAGAGAACGGAGCGGCCTGGAAAGTTAAGACCTGGGGGTGGGAGGTGGCGGTTCGTGAAGGGGGATTCCGATCAAATTGTTCGCAGTGACAGCTCACTGTAGCGTCGCACTGCCTCCTGAGCTCTCTCACTGAGCGGTCGCGAGCGGACACCAGTCGCCTCTACTTCACCTGTTAGGGGGCAGCACCCAGCCGCGAAGGCCGCCCCTCCCCCCTCAGGAGCCGCGCCGGCCGGGCCGGGGTCAATGTGCCACCGCGGGGCCGCGCGCCCACCTGTGCAGCGGCGGCAGGTCCTGAGCGTCGCTAGCCGGGTCGGGCGTGTTGGGGATGACGCCCAGGATGGTGCTCTGCAGCGACGTGCCCTTGAGCAGGCGGCTGCGCACCAGCTGCAGGTTGCGGGCCGAGTCCACACTGATACGCATGGTGGAACCCGGCAGCAGCACGCCCTCGTGGGTGAGCAGCAGCGGCAGGCGGCTAGGAATCTGGATGGGGCTCACCGACGACATGGCGCCGGCCGTGGGCCCGGGCACCTCGCACCACGGAGTACAGAGAGCTCTACGCGTCCGACTCCGGAGCTGCCGGCCACGGGCGCGCACGCACTTCCGGCCCCGGGCTACGGCCCGCCCCGAGGCTCAGACGCAGCGGCGGCGCGCTCGCCACTCGCGGGGCCGCGCGGCCGAACGCGCGTCGTAATTACGCGAAAAGAGGCGCAAATGCGTCTCACCCCGTGCGATACACCTCTCCTCGCCTGCCCACCCGCGCCTGCTTTCTCGTGGGACTGGGACGATCGAGTGTAAATTCTAGCTACTCGAGATGTTTTTAAATGATAATGGGAAAACATACAATAAAAATTTTTAAAGAGGAAGTGTTTTAAACCTTTGATTCAAGTTGAGTTAAGCTGTACAAAAGCGTTGCAGAAATCTAATGACAAGGTCCCGTGCGTGCATCTTCTGTTCAACTTCCTCTGCAATTATCTTACAATGTCACAGTTTAATGAGAGCAACCAGGCGCTGAGTCATTGTGCTCTGAGCTAAGACATTACTTAAATGTTGCCCGTTTTCTGGCTACTGCCCTTTTTTTCTGGCTGAGGAACCCACATTTCATTTAGCTGTGACGCTTGCTCAATCAGTTTGGTTTTCCTTTTAAAACCTTGGTAGTTTTTAAATGTTTTTGGTCCATTGTTTTGTAGAATGTTCTTCTATTTGGGATTATCGGCTGTTTTCTCTTGGTGGGGTCAAGAGAAAACATACGCATTTTGGGGAGAAAGACCACGAAAGTGGTGTGGGGACTACAGACGAGGAGGAGGCCCTGGCGGGGAGCCTCGCTCTTCTTACTCCAGGCCTGATGCAAGCGACTGCAGGTTTCAACTTGCATGAAAACATTGCCAGGCTTATGTTCTCAAAAGAGCGTTTTTGCTGCAGTGTGAAGAATGGAGTGTAAGGGTTTAAGGTAAAAAACAGGGACGCCAGTGAGGAGGGGGTTGCGCCTGTTGAGGCAATAGGTGAGAGTGATCAGGGGTCACGCCATGTTCCAATGTAGCTGCAGCAGAGCACGCTGGTGGATTGGACATGGCGAGGGAAGGACAGCCACTGTCAAGGGTGTCTCCTAGACGGGGACGGAGCCTCTAGGGCTTAGAGGGAAGTTCAGGGGCGACTGAAGATGCTGAATGGTGTCCCTGGATGTGCACCGTGCGTCCTCTGATCGACGCTGGGGGTGGCCCAGGACCACAGGGGCTTACCTCTTCATCGAGGTCTCTCCCAGGGCACGGGGTGGGGGACGGCATTTTTGAGGCTCCCGGTGTTTTAACAAAGAACTTCAAACACCAGTGCATCTTACAAACTTCGCAGTGTATTTTTTTTAAACACGTGTTTAACGCTTTTAATGCACACGCCCCCGCCACCACCATCAACAAACCTTCCCAGTGTTTTATTCCCATAACGATGGCTGGATCAATTACTTTCTGAAATACAGTTTCAGACCCACCATAGGAGGTGTACAGTGAGAATGGGCCCGTGTTTAAATCACTTGCTCGGCGAACACTTCCCTTTCACCCTTTTGGTGCATCTCTGCGCTGGGATAGGTCAGTCCACTGAGGCCAAGGTCAAAATACAGACGCGAGGCCTGCAGAGCGCATGTGCAGCTCTCCTGCTTCAACGGGCTCTGCGACTGCTTCTTGCTTGCGGCCAGCAGGCATGCGTACTGAGCTTCTGCTACGTGCTGGCGCAGTTCCAGATTCCAGCGTCAACCAGCGCTGCAAGGAGCTGGCGGGAGGATGCTCTCGGCAGAGATCAGGATCAGAGCAAAGATGAAGGAGGGAAGGAGCCTCCCAGTGTCTGGGACAGAGGAAAGGTGCAGGCAGTGGCATGTGGGGGCTCAGCAGTCGACCCCGAAATGGCCAGCGATGGCCTCCAGAAGCCATTGGAACTGGCAGAGGGAGTAAAGCTAAGAGCCAGGAGGGTAACCGGCACGACCTGCCTGGGTGAGAGACGTATAGGAGGAGGAAGGTCTGACCTCCACCTCCTACCAGGCCTAGCTGGCAGGTGGCTCTGCCCTGTGGCTCTGGGCACCTTCTGGCCTTGGACCTGGGCCACAGTTTACCTTGCTCCGGTGCCCCCTTCCTGTTCACAGGCCATTTCAACATAGGCAAATAGCCCACATCCAAACCAAGTTCACAGCCATGACTTTGGTCCCCGGGGGTTGGGGAGGACACAGGCTGGAAGCATGGTCCCTCTCTGTTTTATTCCCAGCCATGTCCTGGTTCCCACCCTGCCTGCAACGACTGCCTTGCCACTAAGTAGAGTGAATGACCTTCAGCTCTGACTTTCTCCCGAGAGGAAGTCGGGAGGCCAGGGAATTTCTCAAGAGCTGCTGAAGGAAGCTCTGGCTCTGGAGGGAATTCTCCTGGCCAGTCCAGGAACCAGAGCTGGGCCCCTTCGGGTTGGAAGGCGGCCGAACTAACACGGAGCTAAGCCCCAGGTACGCTGGAGCGAGTGGCTGGTGTTCTGCAAACATAGCGATTTCGCAAGTTCGCATCGCCTTCCCTGTCCCTTGGTTTACTTTTCCCTGGAGTTTCTTTCCCGGACCCGCCCCTCACAGCCCCACCTTGGACAGCCTCATTGCCTCTCTGGACATGTGACTCTAAAGAGACCAGGTGAAGAAACCACACTGCAGCTGAAAGGAGGAAGAAAGGGGAATTTCTTGAGCTGCTCCCTAAGAACCTGGCCTTCCTCCTGAAAACCTCCCTGCTGTTTAGTGAGGAAAAAGCAGATACTGATGCTCCCTCCCCATTGTAAGATCTGGTTCCAATCCAGTCACTGAAACAGCTCCGTGAGCAGTGCCCTGTGAAGGCTCGGTCTCAGATGCGGGGTCCTGGGCACACTGTCCTTGGCTCCTCAGCTTTCCCAAAGAACGTCTTTTGTCCACCTGGTCACCGAGTGACCTGCTGTCACTGGAGGATCTGCTGGAGGCTTCAAGCAGCTTTTGGCTTGCTCATGGCCTGGTGCTGTCCCCAGGGTGGCTAGGCCTCTCTTGGCACCAGACTCCCCTCCCATGGTTCTCATTTATTTGCAGTCTGGGTGGGCCATTAGGCCCCACGGGCAAGGCCTTCACCCCGACTTCCAGCTACTTCTTGCTCCCACCCGCGTCTCGGGGGAGCCAGGAAAGCGACTCCCAGGCACAGCCAAAAGGAGCCCGTGGAGCACACGGGAGTGAATTGGACAAAGATGTTCCTGATGAGAAGATTTATTTTAAAAGTGCCACTTTTTCTGGATAGATGTGATGGTGGTCTGGTCATTCAGGTCCGTGGGACCGACTGTCAAATTCTCAGGGACTTTGAGGGCCCCATTGTTAAATGCAAGCATCCGGAGAAATGACAGACACGCTTCCTGAATATACTCTGTCAAAGACAAAGGGAGGACTCCAGGTTCATCTCTCCCCCGTTATTTTACTTCATTTGGCATTCTTGAGGCAATTCATGCACCTTGGGTCTGCACAGTGGACAGGCTGCCTGAAGTCTGACCACCCCTCTCTTCCAAATTCCACACTCCACTGTCCTGCCGGTGGCTGGAAGTCAGTCATGGTGGGAGTATTTTCACTGCCATAATCAACAAAAACTCCAGATCAGGGTTTGTTTTATTGCTATTTCATTGAGTATCTAGGCTTAAGAAATGTGGGCAGCATCAATCACACAGACAGAATTGACAAGCGGGTGGTGTCTGCCGAGACTTTGTGAAGAGCACCGAACGACCGGGGAGCCGTTCTTTCCCTGTTTGAAAACCGTCCGGCACAGCTGGTCCGGCCGTGGGCACACGAGTGCAGATCCAACGAGCACCGTCTTGGACGTTTCGTTCTCCTCTTGCTCCTTAGCACAAAGCAAAACGCCAAGCGGTCTTCATGTGTAACCATGCTGACTCACAAGCTGCAACAAGAGGCTGGTGACGTGCAGACACCTGTGGGCACAACCCAGTGCCAGGGCGCATGACTTGCAGTCTAGAATTTGCTGACCGCTCCCCCTGCCCCCCAGCTCCCTCCCCTGGGGACCTTTGCACAGTGAACCAAGCGGACAGCAGCAAACACGGTCCTCTGCCCCAGGCCTCTCTCCGTGGAATCGGGCCAACTTTACTTGAATGTGTCTATGAGCCCAGCTGGTTCAAGGCAGCCAGAAACCTGGCCTCTTTGCAGAGTCTTCGACGAGGAGCTTGCGACACCCTCTTACCTAACACTTCTTCTCTCTTTTTCCTTTTGCATCAGCCCTGGGAGGCCCACTTCGACCCTGGCTCTAGCTTGTGCCTGGCGCCTTCCCGGGGAGTCAGTCTACCTGTATACTCTATAGGAAAATTCCAGAAACGGAGGCCACCAAATTGGGCTCTGATTTGCAAAAAAATAAGGTCAGGGGGAGGAGGGATACAAGAATTGAGCAAATCTTGTCCCAGGACCATAGGCTAGCCTGCAAGGCTGTTTACGTGAAGCACAATCCAAGATGTGAACGTCAAACTCTGTATCGCAACGCCAGGGCAGTGTGAACATGTGGGGCTCCGTGTTGGAAATTATTAAGAGCTTCAAGTTGGGCCCTGGCAGGTGTGGGCTCAGTGGGTTGAGTGTCAGCCCGCGAACCAAAGGATCACAGGTTCGATTCCCAGTCAGGGCATGTGCCTGGGTTGCGGGCCAGGTCCCCAGTTGGGGGGCGCTCGAGAGGCAACCACACATTGATGTTTCTCTTCCTCTTTCTCCCTCCCTTCCCCTCTGTCTAAAAATAAAATAAAATAAATCTTTAAAAGAAAAGAATTTCAAGTTCCAGGGGCCCTAGTGAGGCACCAGTCATGCCCCAGATGCTGCTGGGGTGTCCACGTTCTCTTTTCGCCCCCTCATCGCGGTCCTTCTCCCTCAGGCAGCAGCCATGTTGGGACAGAGTCACGACATGACTCTGAAAGGCGGAAACGAAAAGCATGTCAGTACATTGTAAAAACGCCTGGTTATTCAAGGCTCCCCAGTCGTGCCCGAACCCCCTGCCCTGGGTTCTGAAAACCAAGAGTCAGGAAATGGCAAAATCACACGCCTTTCCCTTTTTTGTCATTTGGTCACTGAGCACCTGGCCTATATACCTCGTGCCGTCCCTGGGGTTCCCCAGTGAGCAAAGCGGACAGGTGCCTGCCTCCCCGTGTAGTGCAGGAAATGACCCGGGACAAATAGCGATGGGCCTGAGTGCACAGTTACAGACTGGGAGAGGGGAAGAAGCATCGTTTTGTGAGCAGACTGGTCGATCGGAGCAGACGGACGTGGCACCAGGGTGTGGGGTCTGGGGTAGTTGTTTCAGAGACAGTTTCCCTCGGTGACATTGGGCTGAGGCCAGAGTAGATGTTTGAGAAGAGGGAGCTGAGTCCGTCCCAGGCAGAGGGCAGGGCAGGGGCCAGGATGGTGGCCTACCCTGGCCACGGCTGCTGCGCGCTCCCTGCCGGGTGCCGTCCTCCCTCCTGCCTGTGCAGGTCTGGACCTGAGCTGCTTCGGCCTGTTGTGTTTGCAGATTCTCTGATTTTGGACAACGAGGAATTGGCAGGACAACTGAAAATGACCAGGAAGAAGGAACACCAGGTCACCAGGTCTTCAAATGGCCTCGTGAATCTTGGCCTGGACATGGGTGACGACATGGTCTTGGGACTTAGCTACGTAAGTTGGTCTCCTTTGCATCAGAGCCCCCAGAAACGGAGTTGGCAGGGTGATCCCAATGCTCAGAACTTAGGTCAAGGCACGATGTCCCGTACGTATTCAACCTTGATTTTTTTAATGGCCCCCAGGCTTCTATAATTAGATAAACCATAACCCTTGGTCATGACCCAACCTTCACGGCTCATGCATGTGTATGTATGTATTAACTATTATCTATGTATCTATGCATTTATTGCATACATATGTATCTATTACCTATTACCTACACATCATAATATACGAGCGCCCACGAGCCCACCAGTGATGTGCCAGATTGGACCTTGACCACCACATCCAGCTGTCGGCCTCCTCCTTCTCCCCCAACCCCTCACCCCTGCCCTAAAGGAACCACCTGAACCCTTCCCCAGCGACCCATTGCTGGGCTTTTAAGGTCATATCACTTACTCCATACAAAATCCCAGAGATGATATATCTCTTTTTTATTTTAGTCACTTCCCACTTTCTCAGAAGGGTAACATCATGTTTTGGGATTTGATTTTTTTACGTACTGATTTCTTTTCAGGAGGTTGGCCCTCGGAGGGTGACTCAGCCTCACATTCTGTGGGCGACTAGCCGTCGCCCCCTCTTCTTGTCTACGTGGGGTGTCTGGCGACAGATGACAATCCGGGGAGGTGGAGTGACCTGCCCAGAGTCACCAAGAGACTTTGGGGCGGAGCCAGGGTTGGCACCTGGTTTTCCTGACTCTTGGCTCAGTGCTCACTCCCTGCCTGCCAGCATTTCATTCATTCATTCATTCATTCATTCATTCATTCTTATTGAGATAGAACTGACATGCAACAGTGTTGCTTTCTGGCGTACAACCTAGTACTCAGTATTTCCGTATGTTGTGAGATGGTCGCCGCCATCAGTCTAGTTAACACCCATCACCGCACAGAGGGACACATTGTTTTCTCATGATGAGAACCTTTAAGATCTCCTCTCTCGGTAACTCCTCGGACACAATGTGCTATTGCTACCTATAGTGGCCGCGCCGTGAGTTCCATCCCCTGCACTTTTTTATTCTGTAGCTGGAAGTTTGCACCTTTTGACCTTCACCCACTTACCCACCGTGTCTGGTGACCACCATCTGTCTTCTGCATCCATGAGCTACCTTATTGTTTTTTTTAAAGATGCGACGTGTAAGTGAGAGCATCCAGTAGTCTGTCCGTCTGACTCTGGAGCTGGATGTGGAAGGACCCATCTTCTGTGGGTGGCTGCTCTCCTGCTCCCTCGGGACAGTAGTTATGAAACTAACGCTCTTTGGTTTTCTTTCCCAAGAAAACGTGTACTCTGGAGGACACGCCCCGGAGCCAGCAGGCAAGGAAGCCGGAGGAGGCAGCGGGGAGTGCAGGGGCCCCCCCTGCAGGGAAGGACAGGGACTGGAAAGTGATGATCCCCTTCCAGCTCAAGTCAAAGTGAGTCCTGGGCAGGGCGAGGGGCAGGCAGCAGGAACCGGCCCCTCCCGATGCTTCCCCTCTGTCTCCTATGGGATGGACATGCCGCACTCTCCTTTCTTTGAAACTCAGTCCCCTGACCACGGGCATTGTCCCACTACCACACGTAACTGAGTCATTAGAACACACCTGTGTTTGTACGTCTGGATGGCCATGTGGCGACTGTTACAGAGTCACACTGTTCATCAGCTCAGAGCCTTGCCCTTGACCTCACTTTCCCTCTCGAGAGCCGGCACCCTCGTGGTGACCGTGTTATCTGCGACCCCTAGGTCTCCTTCCCCTAACCCTATTGACAACGCTGGCCTGTTCTCCTACCTCACGGTGTCCTGGATCACCGGGCTCATGGTCCGAGGCCTGCAGAGACGCCTGGACGAGAACTCCGTGCCTCCTCTGTCGCGGCGCGATGCCTCAGCTCGGAACTCCAGAAGGTGCGGCCTTGCCGGGCGAGCCGCCGGGTTGGTGAGAGACCGTGTCTTAGGGGGAAGGAGACCGGAGATGTTGAGAGTAGGTAGGGCCCACGGTCAGGCAGCCGGGTCGGATCTACCTCTATACCAAGGGCCTCCCTCTCATCTGGAGTTCCCTTACCTGGGGCTCAGGAATCTCCAGAAAGAGCATACATTCTTGAGGCATATGGCTAGAGATTTTTTTTCTGGACCAAGAATTCACATCTTCTGCCCTGGCCGGTGTGGCTCAGTTGGTTGGAGGGTTGTCTCATAACCAAAAGGTTGCGGGTTTGAGACCCCGTCGGATCCTGGGCCCGGCACGGAGGACCCCCGGTCCGGGCGTGCGCAGGAGGCAGCCAGTCGATGTTTCTCCCTCCCATGGAGGTCTCTCTGAATCCCTTCCGCTCTCTCTAAAAGCAATGACACAATGTTCTCGAGTGAGGGTAAAATTTTTTTAAAAAGAATTCACATCTTTTATCAGATTTTCCCTAGGGCCCAGGACCCCAAGAAAGGTAAACATGACACTTCTAGTCCCTTTTGCTTTTCCTCCTGGATCAGGTGTTTATCAGTGTCGTGGGCCCTTCTCTTTGGGGTTGGTGGCTTTGTCTCTCAGTCCCTGAGTCACTGTGAACTGGTTGTGGGATTAACTTTCCTGACTTACTCACCCTACGAGGTAACACGGGGGGAAATGAACTGACCGGAAATTCCCTGCACACTCTTCCCACCTCCAGGTACCTCCTGAGAGTCAGCGGGTGTGGAGTGTCCATTCCAGACTCGTTCTGGGACCTGGCGGCCCCGGGGGGCCCTGAGGAGAGCCTTCAGGGGCCAGGCAGTGTCCCGTCCTGGAGCCAGGCCTCAGGGGTTGGCAAAGCAAATCAGAGTCTGGTTAAATGGCCACCACCTCGCAGGGAGGCACTCATCAAATCCAGAACACGGGACACTCTACACATACCACAGGCTGCAAACACGAGGCCCGCGTACTGAACCCGGCCCTCCACCGGTTTCATCCGGCCCGGCACCCCATTTCTACCGGGTAGCAGTGCCGAGCTCTTGCCCCTAGTTAAGCAGTAGTTACACGTACACAGTCCTAAAATGACATTTGGCCCTTCGAAGGCCACCACGAGGCTGATCTGGCCCCCAGTGAACATGAATGAGTTCAACACCCCCGCTCTGCAGCATAAAAACGCGGTTTCTGTCACTGAAGAACGGCAGAAAGTGCACAGAAAGAGAACCGCTACAGGTTAAAATGAGATGTGAGAGGCCTCTCAGATGTGTTTTTTGAAAAAGATCCTATGCGCCCCGTTTGTATCTTGCGGTAGGCAAGCTACCTGCAAGAAGATACTTTCAAAATGAGATACATTTGAAAACAGACTGGGTGTTCAACACCACAAAGAAATCGTTACTATGTTATTAATGTGTAACTACTGATTGTGAGGAAGAAGTATTGTTATTATGGCTGCTGTGGGGGGAGTGTAAAAGGCTTACCTGGCAGAGATCCACCCTGAGTCCCTGAGATATGTCTGGGATTTGCTTGGCATGTAACGAGAAAAAGAAAAGTGCAGGGGAGACAGACCTGGCCGCTGTCGATGATGCTCGAATGGGTGTTTGCGGGAGGCCCTCTCTTCTGGCCGCCTTCGGCTACGTTTGGGAATTTCTTTAACGGAGCCTGTGCTAGCCAGACCTGGGACATTCGGGGGACACTGGCAGAGAGACTTCACGTGGCTCAACGTTCCTCTTTTCAAGGCTCCATCGCCTCTGGGAAGAGGAAGTCTCTAGGAGCGGGATCAGAAAAGCTTCCCTGTTTCCTGTGTTGCTGAGATTCCAAAGCACACGGGTTATGATCTACATGATTCTGGCCATGTGCCTGTCGGTCTCAAGTGTGCTGGGGCCGGTGAGTGGCGGGCTTGGTGACATCTGGGGGCCCCGGGCTGGGGAGGTCAGCACGTGCCAGTCTGCACCGGGAGTCGGGGATGTGTTTGTCCCCCAGACGCTGCTCCGAACGTGAGGCTCTCAGGTGGGTGGGGGTGGAGTGGAGCAAATGAGAAGAGTGTGAATTCTGCAGCCCTTGCTTGGGTTCAAACCTTGGCCCTTCTGCTCAGAGGCTGGGTGACCTTGGGCAATTTGTTTACCTTCTCTGGGCCTTCATTCATCACGGAGCCCCATGACACTGTCAGAGATAGACGTCCTGGAGATGCTCAGGCGTCACCTGCCTCAGAGGGTGACGTTAAATGGGTTAAGTCTATAAGTACACAGAGCGTGACCTGGTTCATTCCATGCTAGCCGCTCTGAGAAATGGCCAAGCAGCCCCAGGGGATGCAGGTGGAGGGACCTGGTGGTCTCTTCTGTGCGCCCTGCTTGGGTGGAACCAGCTGTTCTAGGTCCTCGGGTTCCTCAGTTCAAGATCCAATCACAAAGAGAGAGTGGGTTGTCCCAGCCGGGGTCGCTGTGGGCCACCAGAGGGGAGGGCAGCGTGGTCTAAACCACAGGCAATGGGGCAGGTGACGGTGCTCCCCAAGAACAGAGAAGTGCTGTGACCAGCTAAGGGGAAAATGGACACAGGATGAGACAACAGTGGAAGTCACCCCGGAGATCACAGAGCACAAGAGTTGGGGCCCCTTGCCTCCTGCCTTCTGGTGGGGCGTGACCAGTGGGAGGTGCCAACAGGAGACTCTCGGGGAGAAGAAAGTCAGGGTAGAAGGTACGTTCCTCTGACCGCCTCCCTGTCCTTCGCTGGAGGCCACTAGAGTCTTGTGAGGGGCCTTTTCTGAGGGGCTCTTCCCCTGGGCTCCAGGAACCCCACCCCTCTCTGTCTTCAGGCCTGGGGTCATGAGTGACCCTCGCGGTCCCCAGGCCCATGGTGCTCCATCAGCCCTGGTGGGTTGCCTCAATTCTGCACACACATTCAGAAATGGCCCGATAACTCCCGGTTACTCTGTGTGTGTGTGTGTCTGCCAGGGCCAGTGAGGAGGTGGCAGAACTGGGGTTCAGATCTGGGTCAGCTGAACTAAGCTTCCCCCTCTTGACTATATGACCCCGAGGCAGGACCCCGAGACCCTGGCGCCCAGCCGGTGTTTGACTCCTCCCCTGAAAGAAGAATTGGAAGGTCTGCACGGCCCGAACTCCCGGCTCTCATTTCAGACGCTGCTCATCCCAAAGATCCTGGATTATTCCCAAGAGCCGTCCAAGGACCCCGTCTACGGCGTGGGTCTCTGCCTCATCCTGCTCTTCACCGAGTGTATGAAAATGATGTGCATGTGCAGCGGCTGGGTCATCCAGCAGCGCACGGGCGTCAGGTTCCGCACGGCCGCCCTGGCCGTCGGCTTTGAGAAGCTGATGCAGTTCAAGTCCCTGACGCACATCAGCACCGGCGAGGTCAGTGCCCGGGCTGCACCCTGGTTGCACCCAAGGGAGACGCACGGGATCATCTTTGGGGTCCACTTTTACATGAAAGGGACTATGTGACTTACGTCGGTTTGTAGCTTGCCCCCCCCCCTTTGTGTCCGAGCTTCCGTGTTCGCACACCGAGGTTTCCTCCGAGCCCCGGCCCTGCCCTCCCTCCCGGTTTCTGTCGGGACCTAATCCGCACGCGGCGACCTTGCGTTAGTCCGAGGCACAGGACGGAACGATGGGGCCTCCACGTGGCAAAACGGCGACCACAGCAGGTCTAGTTAACGCCCTTCGCCACGCAGTTACACGTTTCTTCTTTTGCCTGATGAGAACTTTGAAGACCCACTCTCACGGCAGCCATCAGGTGTACACAGCGCTGCTGTGGCCTCCGACTCCACGCTGTGAGCCGCATGCCCGGGCGACCTATCCCATCACCGGAAGCTGGTACCTTTGACCCCCTCCTCCCACCCCCAGAGCACGTTCCACGTGCCCGGATCGCTCAGTGGGCGTCGTCCCCTCCCGCTGTCCAATCAGCACCACGAAGCGGGCTGCGTCACCGTCCCCGTGTTCCTGGGGAGCTGAGCGAGGCCCAGAGAGACTGAGTAGTGTGGCTGTGGCTGCACAGCTTAGTCGACAGCAGGTCTGGGACCTCGTGGTACCCGGTCCATCCTGGGCGGGCCCATCGGCCTTTCCCACTGACGAGGGTCTGGGATGTTTCCACGGTCTGGCTGCCGTAGGCGGTGCGGCAGGGAACGTCTTATAAGGGCTTCCCCGGCCCGTGGAAATATCTCATTGTGAAAGATACGGCGAAGCTGCCCTCGGAAGGGGCCGTCCGAGTTACACTCCCTCATACACTGAGCATTTTTATAAAGGCTCAGCCTGGGCACGTACAGGTGGCTGGAAGGAGGCCAGGTTCAAGTTCCAATGAAATCATTTCTGAAGGGATTCAAATGGGCCAGTCTGAAAGACATTAATGAGTGGGTTCCTTAAATACGTCCTGAGTTGGACTGTTGGCTTTTGTATAACACCGGGCTCAGTGGTACATGTCGGGGAATCGACAAGAGGGAAGAAGAGTTAAGCCAAAAAAAGAAAACGCAGAGGAGAAAAAAACCCCTCAGGTCCTACCTAAAAAAACTCAGTTATTATTACTATCCGTCATGGCAGGAGTAGAATGGAACAGGGTGGCGGAGAAGACCAGACACTGCTCTCTGGAGTCTGGGTGTGAGCATTAGCAGCAACAGTATCGCCCAACGGAACTCTCCTGGGGCACAGTCCCTGAGCACGGACACTGTATCTCGTGGCGAGTCTCAGCGCCAAGCAGGCGTGGTCATTCTAGGTTTCCAGGGAGCGAGGCTGAGGCTCAGTGCGGTCGCATAGCCCGTCTGGGGTCACCCCCGCAGCTGGGGACCCGCCTCTGGGGCCATCCTGCCAGGAGGAGGCCCGGTGAAGCCGCCTGCCGGGGGTGCACGGAGCCCCATCTGGGTGACGGGAGAGGTGACGCCTGTGCGCTTGGGCTCCATGTCTTCCAGGCCATCAGTTTCTTCACCACCGACGTCAACTACCTGTTTGAAGGCATGTACTACGGCCCCATGATCTTCATCTCCTTCGCGGCAGCGGTCACCTGCACCATCAGCTCCTGCCTCCTGCTCGGCCCCACGGGGCTCATCACCACCGTTTTCTACCTGCTGGTTCTGCTGCTGTTGGTAAGGTCGGACGCGCCCCAGAACCCCCTGCGCTCCCGGGGGCGCTTCTGAGTGGGAACGTTGGCCCTTCGCCTTCCACTCCCACCTCAGACGGTTCTCTGGCCCCAGCGGTCAGCCCAGGGACCTGGAGGTGCCGCTGGCGTCCGTGGCCGCCGCGTAGCTTTCCCCGGAGGGGTGTCCGTTTCGTGCTGTCCTCATAGCACGAAAGCGTGGGCAGCCTCCCACACTTTTGCCCCTTCTCTTCCACCCAGAGCTTGCTGATGTAAGAACACAGACAGCTTTTGACAGCTGGCTGAGCACCAGATTATGGGGACGCAGGGTGCAGGGAGTGGGACTCACATGCTGCCTAAATTTCAGGGGAAATCGAGGGGCCGATGCCTGGATTCCCAGTGCTCTGACTCCCTGAGACCGAGGTCTTCCTCCCTCGGCACAGGGCTGCGGGGAAGGTGGCCATGACCGGTCCAGGGTTAGGATTCCCCACAGCAGAGGTGTCCGACTTCAGTTGGTTAGCCACATCCTGGTTCAGCAGCTAGGAGAGCAAGACGCCCACCCCCACGGGGTGTGGGAGGTGGATGCCCCAGGGCATGAGGGCCCCGGGGTGGACTGGGGCGTGGGGGGCTCCAGAACAGCCTCCAGTGGGGACCTGGACTCGGCCTGCCTGGATTTGAACAGTGCGGGGGGACACCCGGGGGTCCAGGGCAGCTGCGGTTTCCCTTGGGGAGCCCTGCCCTTCCCAATGGACATTCCTGCTGCATCCCGGCCACAGGGGCTCCTAACCCTCAGGTTGGTGAAGACTCACAGGCAGGTCTCCAAGGTCAGCGACCAGCGCATCCGTGTGACCAGCGAAGTTCTCACCAGCATCAAGCTGATTAAAATGTACACATGGGAGAAAGCATTTGAAAAAATCATTAAAGGTACAGAAAATCGGGCTTTCCCCTCAGAGCCTGCGGACCAAACGGGGGTGGGGTGGGGGTGGGGGTGGGGTGCTGAGCCTCCCCCACCGCGGGGATTTCCTCCGTGTTCTGCGGGTGGTTCCGCGTCTTTGCAGAAGGCTAGAGTGCCTTCCCTCAGGGCGTCTCCTCGTTCCCCCCCAGATCTCAGGAGGAAAGAGAGGAAGTTGCTGGAGAAAAACGGGCTCATCCAGAGCCTGAACACCACCATCCTGTTTGTGGCCCCCTCCCTGGCCATGGTGGTGACGTTTCTTAGCCACACAGGCTTGCAGCTGAAACTCACGCCCTTGGTGGTAAGTGTGTGGCGCTGTCTCGTTTTTCCTCTTGTGGTCGACAGGGTTTTTCTCGTGTGCCTTTTCCCAGCTCATGCCCCTCAAAGATCCAGAGGCACTGCCAATGGAGACTAAGAATCCATTTAAAGTTTCCAGGCTTTCTTCCATCCCAACCTGAGGGAGAAACTGGCAGCCCTTGGAGAGCAGCCCTGGGAGGAAGGGAGGCAGGGAGGGAGGGACGAGGCGTCTCTGGGTGCGGGGGAGGCAGAATGTATAGTTGTAACCCCAATGACTCCGACACACGTCTTGAGTTCGGGAACCCAAAATCAATGAGTTTCTCTGATGCCCACAGAGATCCCTGAAAATACCCTTTAAATGAAAAGATCTAGTTTCTTCTGCATTTCTCTTTGTGGCCTGACCCTGGCCTGGGGACAGATCCACTGCCCTTTTGGGTTAGGGATCCCAGGTCTTTGAGGAGAACAGGACAGGGTGTGAGAGGTTGGAATCAGCTCGGACAGCCAGGGGCCTGCACCCAAAGGAAAAGGGGTGTCCCTTGGGAGCCCAAGGCCAAGGGCGCACTGCCCTGGGACAGCAGTCCCCTCTGCTGGGCGCAGGCTTGCCCCAGGGAAGTGCTGGAGTCGGAGGGTAGAAGCAGGCACCTCCAGCTCTGGGATCCTGAAAGCCGGGGTGGTTTCCAATAGTCAGGTAGGCTCCCCTGCGGAAGAGGGAGCCGTGGATCAGGCCTGACGAGTAGGGGCATTTCGAATGACAGAGAATAACGGAACGTTGAAGGCGAAGAAGAAGAAATTGGCTCTTAACAGCAATAATAGTGCCACGCCGTGCAGACAGCGGAGAAAGCTGCCTGGCCCGTATTTCCTTTGTGTTGCCCAGACTCCCTTCTGGTCCCAGGTTTATGGTTCTGGGCAATATGTCCACTGGGGCTCCCCACTGGCTGAGTGACTAGACGGACCCGGCCTTCGGATGGGGAGGCTTTAGACAGCTGCTCTTTTTCACCAGCTGTTTGTCTCCCCAAGACGGCAGTCCAGCCCCTGCCGAGTGAAGGACCTGCTTGTGGGAAACTGCGGGTCGGAATGGGGATCTGCGGGGTGGAGGGGGCAGGGCAGGGCCAAGACCCTCAGCGCCACCCCCCGCCCCACCCCCATCCAGGCCTTCAACGTGATGGCCATCTGGAACATCATGCGGGTATCCATGTTCTTCGTGCCCTTCTCCGTGAAGGGCTTCAGCAATTCCATGTCTGCAGTGGAGAGGTTCCAGGTGAGGGCTTGGGACCAGTGGCGCGGCCCTCAGCACCGGGTGGGGCTCGCCTGCAGCTTCAACCCGCTCTCCCCCGGATGTGGGGTCAGTGGTTACGGGTGGTGCTTGGAGGGCGTGGAGCACCTGGGGTGTCCCTGCGGGGGGCTGAGCGGCTCGGGCGGGACCCCGGGGATGGGGATGGGTCTTGGCTCTCGGGCTCCGTGCGGCTTCTGGGAAAGAGTGAATGAAGAGGGACGTGCTCGGTTATGAAAGAGGGACCCTGCCGTCTGAAAACTGGGAACCCTCGAAGCCTCCCCAGCCGAAACGAGCCTGCTCTCCGTCGATGGTAGTTTTTCGAACTTATCCTGATTATGAGTTCAGAAACCAGTCCCAGGGCCCATCCAGCCAAAGGGGTCCTCATTCCTGCTGGAGTGGGGACCACAGTGCATCCTCTCTGCCTTTCTTCTGTCTGCACAGAGGTTTTTCCTGCAGCAGAGCCCCAGTTTGTACGTCCAGGCCCTGGAAGACCCCAGCAAAGCACTGGTTTTGGAGGAGGCCACCTTGTCCTGGAGAAAGACCTGCCCTGAGGTCGTTAACAAAGCCTTTGAGCTGGAGAGGAACAGACATGCTTCCCCCAAGGGGACAGCCAGGACCCAGCCACCTCTGGGTGCCCTTGGGCCAGAGGACAAAGGGGAAAACCCGGCCCCAGAGCTTCGCAAGATAAACCTGGTGGTGTCAAAGGTAACCTCCCCCGGCCATGTGGGCAGGCTGGGTGCCAGGCTTTCAAGGCCTGAGGCTAGGAACCTGGCCTCGCACACCACCATTTCCTAGGCTAAAAACTGCTTTCTCCAAATCTTCCTTTAAAATACAAAGTTTTCATGGAAGGCACATACTGGCAGTCTTTCACACTTTAGTGTGAACCAGCTGATCATCTGAAATTGTTATGCAATGGAAAACCCCAGAAGAGTAGGCTGCATGCATGCTGGTCTTTGGAGGGACTGAGGACACGAGGAGGGGATGGGGAAGGAGATCACACCAACAATAAGTTCCTAGTATGTGCCAAGCGCTGCCCTACCCCTGAACGCACCTTCTCTGGCTTCCTCTCTGAGTAGTACTGGCAAGAGCTGGCTTCCCTGCTCTGTCCTCGCTTGCTTCTGTGCCATCCTTCTCTGTGATCTCTTCATGTCTTGTGATGGGTAATACAGATATATAATAATAATACAGGTGGAGCTTGTAGACACTGATCTACATCTCAGGGTAGAGGTACGTCAAATACATAGTTGTCTTTAGTAGGAGTCAAGGTTACCCTCTAATAGCCCTCTGCAGGGCACCGCTTTAAACTCCCTCTCTGAGCCGCTCTCTGCAGCTGGGAAGTCTCCTCTGAGCTGCAGACTTGACTGGCAATTTATGGACTATTTCCTCTGCGACAATTACCGCGCATTTCCAACCCAACAAGACCCCCTCACCCCGTCTTCCCCTCTCCGGAGCGGGTGCAGAGGACCTGGAAGTCAAAGTCGAGTCCTTCCGTTCGCTCCCACCAACCTGACTCATCTGTGAGAACGGTCGGCTCCCCTTCCACATCTCAGGGCCGCCACTTCCCACTCAGCCCCCTCCATCACCCCAGCCTAGGCGACGGCTCCCGGCTCCTCCTGGAGCCTCCAGCCAGCCTCTCTGCTCCCGCTTTGCCCTTTTCCAATTCACGTCACCCAGAGGGATCTCGTTAAGGCGTACACCAGTCTGGTTCTCTCTCCCGCTTCAACGCCTCAGTGACAAGACACAGGGGAGGGATCCCGGGTTGCTGAGCACTCTGCCCACGTCCTGCTGCCTCCTTCTCCCACTGACTGTCTGCATGCCACCCACACCGGCCCTGCTCTCTGGCAGCCAGCCTCATTCCTGTCTCAGGACCTTTGCACCTGCCGTTCCCATAGCACCTCCAGGTCTTCCTGTGTCTGGCTCCTTTTTGTCAGTGGGTCTCAGCAGCCACGGCACCTGCTGTGAGAAGCCCCCTCCTTGGCCCTACAGTCACCTTAACCCCCAACTGTCTGAAACGGTCGCCACTCTCATCTGGCTTCTGCCACTTGTCACCACCCGCTGTGGCTTGTTTGTTGGCTTATGTCCTGGTTTTCCTCTCCCCACTAGCACGTAAGCTCAATGAGAGCTTCTTCTTCCTTACTTGGTACCTAGAAGACACTCAAATGACTGTTTGATGGAGTGAATGAATAAGTGCGTGGATGAAGGCATGAATTCGGCAAAGCTGGCTTTGCTGCCCCATTTTACAGATGCAGAAACTGAGAGCAGAGGGGCACCGTGGCTTGCCCAGAGTCGTAGAGTAGAATGCAGGCAGGACTGGACTGTGGGTTCCCCGAGACCGGACCACCTATCTATCAGTTTCTCTGTGCCGCTCGCCCCAGACCACCTTGCCTTGCGGTGGCCCAGCCCTGCCTCGGCAGACTGGCCGCACACCTCCTCCGGAGGTTTGCTTGTCTGAGGGGCTTTGGAGGGGTGCGCTTATTTTGTTTTCTGTTTGTACCTGTATTCAAACAGCAGCCCCACCCTGGGTGAGTGGGAGGGCCGTGCTGTCCCAACGCCTGTCCGTCCTCCTTGGCTTTGCAGGGGACCATGGTAGGGGTCTGCGGCAACACGGGGAGCGGCAAGAGCAGCCTGTTCTCGGCCATCCTGGGGGAGGTGAGTGACCCCTGACCGTGCGTGTCCACTGTCAGCCAGACCAGGGCCACCCAAGTTCAAGTTCCCCCAGTGAGCAACGCCATCACTTCCTTCCTCAGAGGGGTCTGAGCCAACCAAACACGTCTCGATAAATTGCAAACAGTGGTGTGGGCCCCGAGGGGCAGGGGAGGCAGAGCGGTGCCCTGCCCAAGGTCAGAGCAGGGAAGGCACGGGGCCGGGGCTGAGGGCCAGGCCCCCGCCCGGAGGTGGTCGGAGCTTTGCTTCTCCTCGCAGCCGCATTCCCTGGTGGCTTCTGTTCAAGGCCACCCTCCTACGTAGCCAGTGGTTTGTTTCCTCTTCCAAGGAACCAGCTGCTTTCAGGCCAAAAAAAGTAAACAGAAAGATGTCACTTTAAAGACTTGTTCTTCCAGATCGGGAGCAGGGAGCCCAGGATAAGAGAGAGAAAGCAACACGGGGCGCGGGCCCCTTGGCTGCGGTGACGAGGCGAGGGCTGTGGTCTCTACCTCATTAACACGTGTCTTTAAGTGGAGCGCCCAGAAAAGCAGGCGGAGCCCCCGAGGGAAGGAGCCCCACGCCCGGTGCCCAGACCGGACAGTCAGTGGCGCTCGCCCCATCTGTGCAGAAATATATTTTGTGGAACTATTTTTGAGGACAGAGGTGATGGCGCTGTCCCACTAGCCACTTCCTGGTGAAGTCCAAACCAGGAGGCCGTTGCCCATCTCACCTCTGTGACACCGTGACACTAGCAACAGCTTTGGCGTGTCCAGGGCCAGGCCCCAGAGGGGCTGGGACGTAGGAGGGAGAAAGCCCGGGGTGTTCAGCCGCTGCGGGGTCTGGCCTGGCTCGGCTCGTGTCCTCAGGGCCGGGCCCCCTCCACGCAGGCGGGGCCCAGGGTCCGCAGGGCCTGCCGGTGCTCAGGCTGGGCTCCGTCTCTCACAGATGCACCTGCTGGAGGGTGAGGTGGGGGTGTGCGGGAGCCTGGCCTACGTGCCACAGCAGGCCTGGATCTTCTCCGGCAACGTCAGGGACAACATCCTCATGGGGAAGAAGTTCGAGGAAGCCTGGTGAGCCTCTGGGGAGGGACCCGGGGGGTCCGCTGGGGCCAAGACAGGCACCACTGGCAGGCCCGGCCCGCTCCTCCCGACCCAGAAAGACAGGTTCTCATCACGCCCATTTTCTAGGGGAGCCACTGAGACCCCAAGAGGTTAACCAGCTGGCACGAAGGCAGGCAGCCGGTGGGGTTTGGAATGACCGGCATTGAACCCGGTCGCTCTCAGACATTTCATGTTTAACTACATTATTATCGGGACTGAAATAATCCTCACCATCCAAAGGGCTCATTTAAAGCTTTGTACCGATTCGTTCCTGACCTCTAGGTCTCAAGGTTAGTCCCTCGGGGGATGAGCTCATGAGTGTGGAGGGACAGCTTTTGGATCCACGGCCTGGGGGGGGGCCTCCCCTCCCTGGGTGCTGGGTGGACCCGCGGGGTCCAGTCACGTGGAAATCGCAGTGAAGTCTCTTCAGAGGAGGGTCCCACCATTGTTACCTCTGGCCTCTGGCTGTGGGGCACAGGCCTCTGCGGATTCTTGGCTCCATTTTGCAATCTGCCCCTGCCCCCCGCGGGAACAGCCCTGAGGGCCTAGACTTGTGGGTGTTTGTACTGGCCAGCTGCGGCCGAATGTCCGGCCGCCTCCTCGACACCAGGCCCGACCCCCAACTGCCCAGTGCGGTGTCACGACATCACAGAACTGCGTCCCCCAGCCGGCCGGCCGCCCCCTGCTCAGCTCCCCCGCTTCCCATTGTCCACCAGCCCCGGCCCAGTCCCTCCCGTTTCTCTCTGCCCGCGCCTCTGTCTCTCTCTGCAGCCAGGCGGGGGCTGCGGTCTCCGGCCGGGACTGTCCTCCTGCCCCGGCCCCCAGTGCCCGATCTCCTCTGACCGTCGCTCTGCCCACAGATGGACATGACGCGGGCCCGTTTGGAAACATCTCCACAAAATTACAGCAGGCTCGGCAACGCTGGGTGTTTAATGGGCAGATGGTTTCGCCCACGCACACCAAGACCCGTGTGCAAGAGTGTTCACACTGCACACTGACCACAGTAAAGACCAGAAAGGGCCCAAGCGTCCCCGCCGGGGCACTGGTTGAAACCTTCACGGCGCAGCCATGTGGCGGCGTTAGGGTGATACGAGCCTGTGTACCCTGCGCACAAAGAAAGGGAGAGTCCGTTTCTCAATAAATACCCGAGAAAGCGCAAGGGCGGCGGCTTCTAAGAGAAGCCCCTGAAGGTCAAAGACACGAGAGAGACGCATTCCCTCTGCCTCTTCTTTTTGTTCCGTTCAAATATTCATGAAGTATCCATATTAGATTCAAAGCGAAGGAAGGTAGAGGAAAGGAAAAGAGCCCCCGTGGTTAGCCAGTGCGCGCACGGCCAACCCGACCCTCCTAGCGCAGGGTAACGACGGTCCCTCTCCCTGTCCCCTCCGCTCCCTGACCTGGCAGGTACCTGGAAGTAATCCACGCCTGCTCCCTGAACCGCGACCTGGACATCCTGCCCTTCGGAGACATGACGGAGGTGAGTGGGAGGTGAGCACCCCCCAGGTCTGCGGTGCTGCTCCGGGGTCCCCCAGCTGCCTCGCCGGGTGAAGGAGACCGGGACCCCGGCTTCTTCCCAGAGCTGCCCAAGCTGCTACTGCAGAGCCTCCCCATCAAGGAGAAAAAAGTGAGGAGATAAGAAACCTCCACCTGCCTCCTTGGCCCCCACCCACCTGCCCCTCACTGGCCACCACTCCCCTCCCTGGGGGGACATCAGCCGCGGCGTCCCAGAGGGGCGGTTTGGGTTCTGACTTGCATTTTTTGGATAATTCACCACCTCTTCCACCTGCAGCCGCCTTCGCTCCACAGATCACCCTTGGTGAGACAGAAGCAGCGTGGTCGTCTCGGTTTTAGTACCTGGCCACGGCGCAGCCTGTGGCCCCCTGGCCCTGTGCAGAGTGCTGTTCTGGCACCTTGAGGGCAGGCATTGCTTCCGGGTGGGGGGCTCAGACGCCCCGCCCCTTCTCCCTCTGAGGGCTGCCATCCTGTTGTGTTGCCGATGAAGTTGTTAGTCGTGTTCTCGATGAAGTTGTTAGTCGCGTTCATGGATCTTTTGCCTTCTGTTCCATTTCCCACTTGCGAGTGGAACCGCGTGTCTCTGTCCTTTTCTGCCTGACTTTCCTCACCCAGCCCGACACTCTCCAGGTCCACCCGTGTTGTTGCGAGTGGTGGGACTTCACCCTTTCCTGTGGCTGAGTGGTGTTTTGTTGTACACACCGGCCACACCCTCTTGGCATGGTCGTCCATGGGAGGACACTGGCCACTACGCCAACTTTGAAACTATTTTTTAAATGCCAGGGATGCCAAATCATGAGGTGGCTAGGAGTGTGTGCAGTGGGGGTTTAGCCTGCTCTGTCTGCCCACTGGGCCGGTGTGAGCATGCCTGGCTGTGCCCCCTGCACTAGACACGGTGCCTTGGCCCCTGTCCGCAGATCGGGGAGCGGGGCCTCAACCTCTCCGGGGGGCAGAGGCAGAGGGTCAGCTTGGCCCGCGCCGTCTACTCCAACCATGACATCTACCTGCTGGACGACCCCCTGTCGGCCGTGGACACCCACGTGGGACAGCACATCTTTGAGCAGTGCATTAAGAAGATGCTCCGGGGGAAGACGGTCGTCCTGGTCACCCACCAGCTGCAGGTGACCGCTCCCTCTTCCCTGTTGTGATTTAATAACCACCTCAGAGCAGCTACCCCTTCGGTTCAGACTGGACCCCAAAGTTCAGAGGTTGCTGTAAAGAACTTGGATTTCCTTTGCATTCCGTGGGAAGGAGATAGGCTGGTAAAAACTGAAACCCAGTGTCTGAGCGGGCCAGCGCTGGTGAGGAGAACACGCCCTGGAGGGGAGGGTCAAGGGCGACGCTGAGCCCCAGGCTGCCACTGAGCCCCGGGCTGCCGCCCACAGGTCTTTTCTACTGGGTATTTTCATACTTGGTTTTGGCCTTGATGCATTCTTGTTATTTCTCCCTCCTCATCTTGCATTTTGGCCTTGAGGTTTTTTTTCCGGGTTAGAAGATTTAAGATGCATAAAAAGGCTTTACAAAGCGATTTAACAAAAACGCACCCATCTGGCTCCTGGGGGACCTCAACAGACACCGGCCCTCCCGGGTGGCGCCTGTCCCCTCCCACCTTTGCCGGCTGCGGTTGCGTGGTCGCAGCTCCCGGGTGTGTTTTCGTCCCCTTCACCACACACGTGTGGACCTTCGAGCCCCGTAAAGTCTTGTCTCCTTTCCCACATTTTTAAATCTTCATCCAGTTGCTATTTTCCTCTCTGCGTCCTGGGTTAACTTGCCTTTTCACTCAACCCCACATTTCCTGGGTCTTCCCTGTTGACACGGGGACCTGAATTCTCCCCGGTGAGCGTTCCAGTACCCGAACGTGCCACCGGAATGTATTTCTCTAAGGTGGACATTTCGGGTTCGCCCTTCATTTTTCACTTTTACAAAAAAAAAAAAAAAAAGAAAGCTTCAGTGCGCTCTTGAGAGGTTTTTTTGTTTTGAGGACAGAGTTTTAACGGTTTGACTGCGGTTCGTAATTCTTCAGAAACCTTTCGCTTGACGAGATGCGGTCACATTGTTTTCCAAAGGCATCGTACCGGTCTACGACCCACCCCCACGCCCCTCTAGGAGTTGCCCCCCCAACCTCCAGTCACCACTGCTGCCCGGGGTTGTCCAGCGTGACATCATGATATTTTGTCATGAGGTGAATCTGCGTTTTCCTTCTGAATAGCGAAGTTGAACATCCCTGTACATTCCCCGGGAAACTTATTCCTTCCGACTCTTCAGTTTTTACAGTTCTGTGACCAGATCATTTTGCTGGAAGATGGTGAAATCTCTGAAAGAGGGACTCACAGGGAGTTAATCCAGAAGCAGGGGCAATACGCCCACCTCATCTGGAGGACGCACAGGGAAGGCAAGCAGGTGACGTGCACCCCCCGTCCCACCCCCGAAGTCCCCAGGGGCAGGAGCACCCCTGCACTCACGGCCCCGCCTTCTCCCAGGATGTGTTTCAGGACACAGAAAAGGCGGCCCAAGAGCATCAGGTGCAAGGTCAAGCCCAGGCCACCTGCCAGCAAGAGCCTCAGAGTGACAATGCTGGTAAGGAGGCTGGGGACAGGCCAAAACATCCCTGTGTCTGCCGGGGTCCCCCAGAGGCCCTGGCACTTCCTCCCAGTCCTAGGCCGGGCCAGGTCCCTCGTGGTGGGGGGCCCCAGACACCACGCACACCGCAGGCTACAGGGCCCTACGGGCCCAGAGCCGTGGGGGTGCCAGTCAGGAGGCCAGAGTGTCCAGGAAGTGAGTGCCATGGGGGTGCGGCGGAGGGTGTGCAGAGGCTGAGGCAGGATGGGGGGCGCTGTGGCTTGAAGTGGCCTGCGTGGAAAATGTCACATCTGGGCTTCCACTCGTTCCACCTCTGTGGAGAGCAAACGTTGAAAACGAAGGGACTGAAATCAGAAAGGCCCCGGGCCCGGGCCCGGCCGTCCGGCCACTCAAGGCCTCGTCCTTTTCTTCATCCGGGCAGCAGGGACAGGCAGACCTTGAATCTGAAGTGACACAAGTTCTGGGTGCTGTCGCAGACCTGCCGCCACAAGGCTGTGCGGCCTCACCCCTCTGACCTCTCCTCGGCAAACGGGGGAGTCACAGGGTGGACTCTGCAGCGTGGGGGTTGGACAGAGTCCGGTGTAGAGAAGCCCAGCGCCTGCCCGGCACCTCGCAGGCCCCTGTCACTCCTCGAGTCCCCACCTGTGGAGGACAGACACGGATGTGGGCAGAAAAGTAACTGGAAGGCGAGGGCAGAGACCACAGAGTGGAAAGTAAAGTTGGAGCGCCAGGCCTCCGCAGCGCTGGGGGCGCTCAGGAGCCGGTGCAGGTGCAGGGCCCATCTGAAAAAACCTACCCTGGCCCTGGCTGGTGTGGCTCAGCGGACTGAATGCTGACCTGCTAACCAAAGGGTCACCGGTTCAATTCCCAGTCAGGGCACATGCCTGGGTTATGGGCTGGGTCCCCAGTAGGGGGCGCGTGAGAGGCAACCATACATTGATGTTTCCCTCTCTTTCTCCCTCACTTCCCTTTTCTGTAAACATAAATAAATAAAACCTTTAAAAGAAAGAAAAGACAAGATACCTACCCTGAATATTTCCCTCCCTGGTATAATTTCCCTCAAGATTCAAATTCCAGGAAGAGCCCCTCCTCCCCCAGGAAATATCGGGGCATTGCTGTAGGACGAGAAGGGGCATCTAGAGAGACGTCAGGGCACCTAGAGATAAGGGACGTCCTCCACATGCTGCCTCCTGCGTGGTTGTCGTCAGCAGCCCCTGCTGGCATCCCCGGGCCCCGGCCTCCGGGCCCTGCTCTGGACCAAGAACCCGCCCAGGCTGTTGTTGCAGAGGTTTTGGGGGGCTGTCCAAGAAGCATCTGGCTGCAGGGCACCTTCCCCCCCCCGGTTTTCAGATGAGGACGCAGAGAGGTTCGGTGGTCTGCCTGAGGTTGCCCAGTCTTGTGGTGACAATGATGGAACCCAGTTTTCTGGTCCGAGGTCACTGCTTCCTCCACTCTCCCCACCTGTCTCTCTCAGTCCGTCTGGCCGTCGGGAGCCCCAGGCCCGCTAGGGTTTACTGCAGAGTCGGGGGTGGACCCCGATTTCCCAGACTCTGGAGTCTAGAGTCTTCCGTGGAGAGTCGGCCAGTTTGGGTCGGGCGGAGTGGCGCACAGCAGCTGGGAGGCGAGGGGCTGGGAAAGGGGGGCTGGGAAAGGGGGGGCCAGGAGCAGGAGGCTTTGCAGGGCCCCTCATGCAGTGGGATGGATCCCATGAGCACACTGGTTCCTTCTTCTCTCCCCCACCCGCAGGGCTGGAGAATCAGCTCACCACGAAGGAGAAGGTAGAAGAAGGGCCCATGACCTGGCGTGTCTACCACGCCTACATCCAGGCAGCCGGAGGTACGGTCTGTCAGCTGCCTCCTGCCCAGCCCGGGGCTCTCCGGGACCAGCCCTGCCCCCAAGGCTGGGTCAGGTTGGAAGACGTGAGGTCACCCGCGGTCCAGAGGCGCAGAGGAGCGGTGCCTCGCAGGGCGGTCCTCGCACAGTCCCGGCCACCCTCAGTTCTGGCAGCTCCACCCTCAGCCGACGCTGGGAGGCGCCCCTGTGTGTCCTTGTGTGACAGCGCACCCAGGCTTTGTTTTGTGTGGGCGGGGTCAGACACATGGACACAGAAGTGACAGTCACCCAGGAAGAGCTGTGTGCTCACAGGTCTCTAGAAATAGCCGGCACTCCAGGCACGTGGGGCCGCACAGGGAGGCCCCTCCGTCAGTCAGGAGGCCGGGGGCAGAGAAGGGAGAGCGAGGCCCGGAGCCCTTACTTGGGTTTTCGTGGGCAAAGGCAGGGTGAACACACTGAGTAAGCTTAGGATTGGATGGATGACTCGAATGCTTTCGGGAGGCTCTGGGCTCTCGGGGTGTCCCCTCATTGTTCGGTGGCTGGCTCTGGGGCAGTGCAGGGCAGGGGGAGCACTGGCGTGATGAATGAGACCTGAGGTGTGTGGGCTGTGGATGGGCCCACGGTGCCTGCTCTAGTCACGGCTGACCCCGGGAAGGGCGGCCTCTCTGGGACCAAGGCCCCAATTCCAAAGCACCCAGATACACAATCTGAGAAAGCATGGTTTGTGTTTTCCAAGCTGCACCGCAGCGAAATCAATGGAGCTGCATTCTTAGCAGCACGGAGAGATGGAACAGGACGAACCGTCTGCACTGCTGGACCGGGGGTGCAGCTTCTTTTACGATGGCATTAAGTTGCATTTCTGAAGGCGGGTGGCTGTGAGGTTCAGAACCCCCGCGTCCTGGGACGGTGCGGGCTGTGCAGTCCACGTGCGTGCCGAGGCACACTGTTGGCACCCCGAAACCGGGGCGTGGTTCTGCATTCTTCGAGTGATTTAAGAAACTCAGAGCCATTCTGACTCCGTGACAACTTTTTACACTTCCCTGACTTTGGAACTCTGTGAGAGGTGGATCCGTTCTCAGAGACTCAGTGAATGGGGAGAGGGGGGAAGGACCCCTAACTCGGAGATGGCGCACATGTGTGGGGCCACCTCTGGCGCGTCACACACAAGAGCTCGCACCACAGAAGTGGGGCTGGTGTTGTTATTTTGAAAACTGAACCCCAGCCCCTGCATAAGAGGGAGCTGGCTTCTCCAGGACGCTGCTTGTGGACTGACACGGGGCTGGGGGCCAGACCCAGGTCATTCCATGTCCTCGTAACAGCAGCCCTGGAGGCTGCTGTGACTACCATCACCATTTCACAGCTGAGGAAGTGGCGTGTCACTGACATTTGGTGCCTCGCCTGGGATCATACCGCTTGTAAGAAGCAGAGGTAGAATTTGAACCCAGGGCTTTCTGACCTCAGAGCCCAGCTGTTTTTGGTCCTTCACGGTGTCCAAGGTGGATGGGAGGGGGTCGGAGAGATCCAAGGGCCTGGGGTGGACGAGCAGCTTTGTCTGTAGTTGCTGTGTGCTGTCCTGGGGCACCCATGTCGCTGTCCCGGGCACCCCCGTCACCGCCCCCTCCCTCTGCAGGGTACCTCGTCTGCATCATGGTTTTACTCGTCCTGGTGACGTTCATCTTCCTCATAGCCTTCAACTTCTGGTGGCTGAGCTACTGGTTGGAGCAGGGCGCAGGGGTGAGTGTGCGGTGGGAGTGGGCGGCCTCTCTGAGGACCAGAGCACAGGCTGGGGACCCCACGAGCTGCCTGGGGCGCCAGTGCTGAGATGACGCGGGGAACCCCAGGAGGGCCTCTGGGAGGAGGCGTCTGGGGCTGCTCCACCCCAGCTCGAACCGGTGTTCACCGCATGAGCCGTCACCTGCGCAGACTTTTGGTGACAAAACCAAGACGTTTCTGTCCGCAGGCAGCTCCCCAAGTCTGCTCTCCATCCCACCCCAGTGACTTTTTCCTGGGGGGGGCAGCTTTACCTCCTGGCTCTGTGTTATTTCAGATACGCCCCTGCCCTGGGTGGGTGCTTGAGCTTGAGAGGCTTCATGGAAGAGAAGCTTAGTGAAGCAGGGAAAACGGGTTTTATCCAGTCACTCCTGGCAGCCAGCGGAAGGGCTGTGCTCCACTCGTGCTCCACTCTGGTGCGGGGGTCTAGAGGGAGAAAGAAGGAGCGGGTGGGCGGAGCTCTGTGGAGTCAGATACGTGACACCTCTGGGGGAGGCTTCGTTCAGTGCCAGCTGGCTCAAGCCAACCCTCCCCCAGACCCTTTTAGTGAGTGGAGAAAGGCAGCTCAGGGGAGTGTGGAGGCGCTGGCTGGAACCGCCCGGAAATTCGCGGGGCAGCCCCTCAGCTTTCTCAGACAGGCATTTTAGTCGGAGGGGCCGGGGCCCTGCTGTGGACACGCCTTGAATCGCTGGCATCCATGCTCCAGTCTGCCTGTGCCACAGAGGCGGTTAATGACGTCGCCAGCCCCTCCCCCACTGGCAAGAGCACGTGGTGGGGCTGAAGAGTCCAGGTTTTTACTGATGGCTTGGTCTCCCTGAGACCAGCCCCACCCCGAGGCCAGGCAGGGCCCCGGCCACCTGCCGCCCGTCAGCTACGAAGCCTCTCTTACTGCTCGGGAGACTCCGAGGGGCCCCGATGCTCCCGTGTCAGAATCAGAGTCAGAGGCCAAGCTCTGGAACAAAAGGAATGCGTAGCTCCGCCTCGAGTGGGAAATAACGAGGGTTGCAGGACCTCTGTGTCGGGGTCCGGACAAAGACCAAACACGAGCACTGCCACACCCTGTCCCTGTTCTCTCCCGAAGACCAACAGCAGCCGAGGGGCCAACGGGACCGCCACAGGAGACCCGGGCGACATCCTGGACAACCCCCACCTGCTCTTCTACCAACTGGTGTTCGGCCTCAGCACCGTGGCCCTGACCTTCGTGGGCTGCTGCTTCTCGGTGCTGTTCACCAAGGTCACAAAGAAGGCGTCCACAGCTCTGCACAACAAGCTCTTCCACAGGGTGGGGCCTGGCCTCATCCTTCTCGTTCTGCCTTCATTTTCTTTCATGACTAGATTTCACTTTCTGAGCAGTTTTTGGTTTCAGAAAAACTGAGTGGAAGGGACAGAGGGCTCTCACCTGCACCTGAGCAATCTCCTCCCTTTCATTAACCTCCTGCAGCCCTGTGGGGTGTGTCACAGTGGAGGAACCCGCGTGGGTCTATTATACTGTGTTATTAACCGAGACTCACAGTTGGCATTAAGGTTCGCTCTCGGCGCTGTGAGTTCTAGGGTTTTGAGGAGGGTGTGCCAGCGTGGATCTGCCATTTAGTATCGTGCAGACTATTTTCTCTGCCCTAAGCACCACCCCCCCCCCCCCCCAGGCCCACCTGCTCCTTCCTCCCCCACCCCCCACCCCTGGCAGCCACCCAGCTGTGGACTGTCTCCCTAGTTTTGCCTTTCCCAGAGCGTCTCATGGGCGCAAGGGGGCACGGAGGCCCGAGGCAGAGGCAGACAGGTCAGAGCCGGTGGGCTGAAGCGCCCCCTGCTGGCGGCGGGACTCCAGTGTCCCGGTGAGGCCTACAGCTCCGCTCAGGACCCGCGCTCTGGTCCCCACAGGTTTCCCAAAGCCCCGCGAGCTTCTTTGACACAACACCCACAGGCCGGCTCCTGAACTGCTTTGTGGGGGACTTGGACCAGCTGGACCGGTTGTTGCCCGTCCTGATAGAAGAGTTCCTGGCGCTGCTCCTGGTGGTGATCTACAACCTGGTGGTGTCCAGCTTGCTGTCACCATTCATCCTGCTGATCAGCCTTGTGCTGATGGCGCTGTGCCTCATCGGTCACATGTGAGGGGCTTTCTCTTGCTTATGAGTGGGCTTTGCGACTTGGGGTTCGAGGTGGGGACCTACCCAGACCCGGGTGGTCCCAGAGGCAGGCAGCCCAGGCCACTCCCTGTCCCTCTCGACGCAGGAAGTTCAAGAGGGCCATCTTCAAGTTCAAGAGGCTGGAGAACTACAGTCGTTCCCCTTTATTCTCCCACATCCTCACCTCGCTGCAGGGGCTGAGCTCCATCCACATCTACGGGAAAACCAAAGACTTCATCAGCGAGTGAGTCCTCCTGCCGCTGGGGGTGGGAGCCGCGGGTGGCAGGGGGCAGGAGAGTCCCAGGAACAGCGCCATCTGCAGGAGGCTCAGAGAAAAGCTGGTTTTACTCCGTGTATTCCTCGGAGCTTCCACAACCTCCTCCGTTCAGATGATACCGAGAGGAACGAAACCTACAGCGATACAGAAAATGTGTGTGACCTTGATACCCGAGGGGGTGAGGACGCCTCTCTTTGTAGGGTTACAGGGACAAGTCTCTCTGGGGCAGCACTGCTTTCCTGGTTTTCCCTTTCACGTCCAAACAGGTGTCTAAATTTCTTAGCAGAGGAAGGAACAAGATCCATCTAAGGAACAGACTTTCCTTTACTGCTCACATGCGCCGGTTTGCTGTCTAAAATGTTGGTTGAAACAAACAAAAATCCAGTGGTAGTTGCTGGGGGCTCACCGTGCCCTCTGAGCTCAGCTACTTGCAAAAATTGGTCCCATGTGGTCTGCCCTGACTGACAGGAAGCTCACACTCTGGAGGAAGATGGGAGACGCCAACTAGTGCATGTTTTGGGGATAACCTAGGGCTGACTGTGAAAGGCAGCAGAGGGGACGAGCAGGCGAAATACCAGACGGGTTTGGGGGGAAATGAGGCGGCCTGCTGGGGATATCAGGGAAGGCTCTCAGGAGGAGGTGGTGTCTGAGATAGCTCTGGAGCCTGCCGAGCTGTGGGCACGGGAGATGGCGAGAGCCCAGCCACCTGGAATATCAGAGGGATCGTGGCGAGGGACCTCGAGGGCGGTGAAGACAGTAGGGCTGAGGGACCTTTGGGGTGATGCCTTCATGCAGTCAGCCCTAAGAGCCCACGTGGTGCTCAGCACCCACTGGGGACACTCAGTGGACCAGGCACACACAGCCCCACTCGGAGGGGCCTCCCCCCCACTCACAGATCCCAGCACCCACTATTCCCTCTCCTCGGCCCATCGAGAGTCACTTAGCTGTCCTTGAACCTGTCACCGAGGCTGGGATGAGCATGGGTAGGGAGGCCGACATTGCCCAGAGCCCTACTCCTAGATCTGGGGTCAGGTCTATTCTGCAGCCTGAGAAAGGGGCAGGGAGGAGAAGTCCCCCAGAGCAAGGTCAGGTCGTATGGGTGGAGGCAGGGAGCTGGATGCGGGGGCGGGAGGAGCAGCTAGTGTCTGCCCTTGGTAAACCTCGGGCCCGCCAAGCCCGCGCATGTGCCTTTCAGGTGGTCCCTTCTTTCCCAGGTTTAACAGGCTGACCGATGTGCAGAATAACTACCTGCTGATGTTTCTATCTGCCACTCAATGGTTGACGTTGAGGATGGAGCTCCTGGCCAACCTGGTGTCCTTTACTGTGGCCTTGTTTGTGGCTTTCGACATTTCCTCTGCTTCCTATTCTTACAAAACCATGGCTATCAGCCTCGTCCTGCAGGTGAGGGAGGGGGCTCAGTCTGGGGCCTGCGGGCATGGGATTGCGATCACACCTTGGGCCACTGGTGATCTTATGGGTCGTGGCCTTGGCCTCCTGCATCTGTTGCTGTTTCCACGTCACCTCTGAACTGGGAAGTCTGTATTTAAAGATATTACATGGAATCATAGAATATTGGCATCAAAGGGGAAACCAACTCTCTATTGCGAAGATGGGTAAACTGAGGCCCAGGGAAGGAAAGGAGTCGTTGGAACAGACAAGGGCATTAGAAGCACAGCCAGGGTGAGAATGCCCACCCCCTCGGTTGCCCAGCTGGTTCTTTTCCTGTCACTGTTCACGCCCTGCAAACCTGTCTGAGTCACCTGGGGAGGTGGCATGGGTCCCAGGGCTCCCAGGCTAGCTCAGTGTGGAGTCACAGAGTCAAGTCCTGGCTGGCAGGGTCTGGGGTCTGATTTTAAAGCCAGGTTGCCTTGGAGGGGGTCTGATGTGGTGGTCTGCCTACCTCCTGGGGCTCTGGGGGCGAGAGGGGACTGGGTGGTCAAGGTTCATGTCCGCAGATTCCTGCAGAAGGGCTGTCTGTCCTTGAAGGGCTGTGAGGCCAGAGGCCGGCTCAGCAGCCACCTCCACGAGCCCAGGCTGCCGGTCCCCGTCCCCCCAACCCCCGTCACCCACTGCCCGGAAGGTTCATGAACCGTCCCCCGTGCTGTGCGGCTTCCTCTGGAACTGCTTCGGAGCTGAGAGCCCCAGTGCCGGCGTCTCCTTTTGGGCAAGCGAAGGGCTCCATGTTGCTCTTGGGCGGGGCGGTGCAGCATGTCCGCACACGTCTGCACACGTCTGCACACGCACCCTCCCCCGCCCACGCCTGTGCGCACAGGCCCTTCCCCAGCACACGGCCACTCGGACCGCCGTGCCGTGCTCACCACAGTGTTCTCATCACATGCTAAGGGACACCTCGAAGTGGTTAAGAGCGTGTGGTTTCAGACAGGCGGCGGCGCCCCGGGCGTTGCCGCCACTCGCAGTGTGACTTTGGGGAAGTCTATTGTCCTTGTGCTTGGGACTCTTCATCTGTGAAGTGGAGGTCACGCCTCTCAGCCTCGTGAGGAGTGCGCGTGGGCCTGAGGGTCAGAGTGTGTGGAACACCAGGAAGACCTGCACCTCCCCCATTTGCAGGGGGGACGGGCTGCAAGAGCTCGTGTCCCCACAGCTGGTGGCAGGCTTGCGGTCTCTCTCCTGGTCTCCAGCACACAGACACACACCCCCTGGATGTGTTCCTCCCAAGCCTCCCAAGGATGCAGGGCGGAGGGGCCACATGGTGTCCTAGGGGACTTAAGAGTCATTAAGGCCAGAGACCGCCCCTGGCCGTGGGGAGGACCAGGTTCAGGGGAAAGGGTGTCCTGAGCCGGCGCAAGGGAGCGTGGGCAGAGGCTCACCTGTCCCACAGGGCGCTGCTCCCAGGAACTCCTGGCTCCGTCCTGCAGGAACCAGTGAGGGACTCTGCCTGCAGGCCTGGCCTGGCCACAGAGCAGCCCCAGGTGTGTCCTTTCTGCTTGAGGTCAGCTGCCCTGCCCCATCTGTGTCCTACCTGAACATAGCAGAAGAAAGAAGGGATCAGCTATGGGTTAGGCAGGCAGTGTGTCTGATCTGCTGATTGGAGGAAAGACAGTCCCCCAGCCTGCCCTTGACCTCCTTTCCCAACCTAGTGCCACGACAGGGTTCCCCTTCTCTCACGTACAGAAGGCTCTCCCACCTGGTCCCGGACCCTGGACTTCTGGGGCCTGGGCACATCCTGCTATTTGATGACCTTCAGCACTTTGCCCCTATTTGCAACACCTGGCTCCGCCCACTTTTCACCTGCTAACTCCCACCTCTCCTTCAAAGTGTACCTTAGTGCCAACTCCCCGTGACCCCCGCCTGGGTGACTGTCCCTTGGGCCGCGATGGCTCTCCATGCTGACTGTGTCGTGGAGAGCACCGTTCTCTGTCGACCTGTCTTCTCTCCCCATCGGACGGGATGCTCCTGGCAGGCGGGCCCGTGTCGGTGGCACTCGGGGGCATGAAGCGCAGCCTCGGGGTTTGGTGACCGACCACGGTGGGAAGGGGTCGCCCAGCACTCTGCACCGCCTGTCTGCCCAGGTCTGGAGCCCGGAGGCGGGGCCCCGCCCGGCTCTGCCACTGGCTCCCGGACACGCAGGGAGGCTCCTCTGCCTCCGTTCCCTCAGCTGTGGTGCCACCAGTCCTCGGGAGCCCCCAGGACTCCGTAGCCTGCCTGGGCTCCCCTGAAGGCAGAGCCTGGCACCAAGGCCGTGGGTGCGGGCGGATTGTCCGGGCGATGCTCTGGAAGACAGGCCTCGGGTGGCAGGGAAGGGGGCACTGCGTCACAAGGGTGTGTCGTCGAGGTCTCTGGTCTGGGTCGCCAGCACAGGACTGACCGGGATCAGCGTACAGGATGCTCCCTGGGTTGTCGGTGAAGGCTGAGAGAACGGGGGCCTCGTCCCCTGTCTCCTGTCCCCATTCGGTGAGGGTCCCCCCTGGGGCCTGCACTCTGCCCTTTCTGGGTACTGAGGTGCCCCTGGGATTCTCACCTGGAACTGCCCACCGCAGCCGCGCCTCCCCTTGGGGCATGGCGGTGGCCCGGTCTCAGGAGCATCGAGAGCCTGGACACACACCCGCGCAGTCCCACGTGTCTCCTTCCTTCCAGCTGGCGTCCAGCTTCCAGGCCTGGGGCCGCATGGCCTCGGAGATGGAGGCGCACTTCATGGCGGCGGAGCGGATGCTGCGGTACATGAAGGTGAGCGCACTGCCGGGTCCGCGCGGGCCCGGGGCTCGGCCTCTGTGGTCTCCGCAGGTCCCCGGGGCCCTGAGGCTTTGCCAGGAGGCCACCAGGGCTCGGGGCACTTGCTCCCTGTCTTCCTGGAGCGACTTCCTCTCCGAAGCCCTTCTGTACTCACTGGCTCGCACTGACCAATCCGTCTGCGCGCCAGCGTTCCTGGGTGAAGAGGGAATGATCTCCCCTTTCTAGAAACGAGGGGTTTGTCCAAGTCTAACAACAGCAGCAGTAGTCCTTGCTGCTGCTCTGTTTATGTCAGAGTAGTGAAGCACGCAGGTGTCGGACCCCAACCAGCTGTGCAGCCAGGGGTATCTGATGCCGCCCTCTGCTCCTCATCTCTGAAACGAGAGACATCCCAGGCACTCGTCACTGGATTAGTACACAGGTTAGACAGTGTGGCCTCTGAAGCTCTGAGCGGAGCCTGGCCTGTAGGGAAGCCTCAGTCAGCAAAACCAGAAAACCCTTGTGTGAGTTCGACTGAATTCGTATCATTCTCCTGCGGCCAGGCCCCTGTGGGGTCCTATGAGCGGAAGTTGTGAGCCGCCCAGTTGGGTCCCGTGCCCTGGCAGCGGGCTGCGGTGACCCTGTGCCGGGGAGTGGGGGAAGGGCAAGCTGTGCTGTGCCCCAGCTTCCTCTCCATGGTCCTTTCCTACCCACTGGGCTTGTGGCCTTGGAGCCGGCGGCCCTGGGCCGGAGTCCTTGCCTGTCCAGTCCCCAGCTCTGGAACCTCAAGCTCGCGGTGGGCGCGGTCTGAGCCTCTGCTTCCTCGCCCGTCTGTGAGATGCGCTCAGGAAAATGCGCACCCACCTCGCAAGGAGAGAAGGAGGGAGGCCTGGTCTGCCGCAGGCTCTGCGCTGCCCACCTCGCCCTGCAGGGGGCGTGCTTCCCTGCTGCCCCAGTCACCATGACCCTGGACCCTATTTCTTTTGGGTCTCAGACAGTAGATTAGAAAAAGTTCTCTCTGCCAGTAACAAGGGGGCTGGCTGCGTGGTTTCTCTCACTTTGGGGATAAAGCTGTGTGCCTTTCATGGGCGTGGGGGCAGAGAAGTTCCTCTGGGGGTTTTTCTGTGATCACCCCACCTGGGGACTGGACCACACCGCAGGGCGGCCTGGGTGTCCGCACACACCCCACGGCTGGAGCCGGTGGGTGGGCAGTGGGTGGGCGAAGGTGGGTGGTAACTGTTGATTCCTTTTTTCTTTCTTCAAAACCCAGATGTGTGTCCCCGAGGCTCCTTCACACGTGAAAGGCGCGAGTTGTCCCCACGGGTGGCCGCAGCACGGGGAAATCACCTTCCAGGACTATCAGATGAAGTACCGGGACCACACGCCCCTTGTCCTCAAACGCATCAACCTGAGGATCCGCAGCCAGGAAGTGGTGGGAATCATAGGCAGAACGGGCTCCGGTGAGCTGAGCGTCCCGCACGCCCCGTCCTCAGCTTTGGTCTTGCGGTGTTGGACCTATTTGGGGCGTGGGTTTGCTCGGTGCCCCGCAGATGTTTGCTGACCCTCCCTGTGTGCTGGGCCCTGTCCTGGACACTGGCCAGTAAAGCCCCCAGCCGCTGCTGTTGAGGGATCGCAATGGAGGGGATGGGTGTGGAACCAGTGGTCAGACGGGGAAATGAGCAAGATACGGACAGGCGTGGTGTGCGGAGGAAGTAGGAGGGGTGGCATCCAACCTAGTGGCGGGTTGGCGGTCCTGAAGCCACAGTGGCCTGGGCCCTGAGGCCAGCATCGGAGCCGAAACAGGAAGACCAGGGTGCAGGGGAGGAGCGCTTCAGGCAGGGGGCAAGCAGGCCACGGAGTGAAATCTGGGTCCTCTTTTCCTTCCTCCCACCCCGCCCTCCCTTCCTGGACCTTTATCGGCCCCCTTCTCCCCTCTCCTTTCTGACTTCTTTCCTTCCCTCCCAGCACGTTTGGGAGATCTGGCCCAAGGTCACTCCCTCCTGATCTTCACCGGTTCAAAGACGTCGCTCAGCCTTGGTTCTTGCCCTACCTTTGTGCGCTTTGGAGCTGCCACCTCCAGGAAGCCCCCCAGGGTTGAGCATGGCCTTCACTGGGCTGCTCCTCCTCAGGCCCCTGCAGGGCTCACACCGCTGCTGGGTGAAGGGCTTCAGGTTGGACCCTGTAGCGCACTCGCGGGCAATGGGACTGGGGGGATTGACTCTGAACTGAAGTTCTCAGCTGACCCTGGGCCAGAGAACTGTGTTCACTCCGTAGGCATTAACTGAACATCAGTGAGCTTGGCAATAGGGACGCCAAGGTCAACAAGAACAAGCATTGACCCTGTCTTTTCGAGCAGAGGCTGGCCACTCACGCGTGCTGGGGCCTGGCAAGTGGCCTGGATGAGTGGAGTGGGGATGGGGGCAGGGTGGGCCTCGAGCTGCGCTGGGGAACACAGGTCTCTCTCTCGGGGAAGCAGCTCCAGCTGCTGGTCACCCGGGGTCGTGGGGCTAGAAGCGTGTAATCCGGATTTTATGTACAGGACCCTTTGGCTGTTGGAGATGTCGGCAGAGGATTTTTTAAAGTAACAGTAACACCATGTGTGTGAAATGAAACACAGACCTGGCTGGATTTGAGACTCTGGCCCCCACTCCCCACCCCACCCCACCCCGCCTCCCGATCCCAGCTCTAAGAAGGCTACCTGTCGGACGCCGCCTGCAGGGGAGATTCTCGCCCTCTCCCCAACTCTGTGCCCGTGCTGACCAAGAGTGTCCGGGGAGCAGGTCCGGTGTGCGCGTCGGGGTCCCTGTGCAGACTCAGGAAACAGACGCCCCCCTGTCTCTCGCCTGACAGGGAAGTCCTCCCTGGGGGTGGCGCTCTTCCGGCTGGTGGAACCTGCCGAGGGCCGGATCCTCATCGACGGCGTGGACATCAGCAGCATCAGCCTGGAGGCCCTGCGGTCCAAGCTGTCCATCATCCCCCAAGATCCTGTCCTGTTCTCAGGGACTGTCAGGTGAGGGCTGGGACCCGGTGTCAGGGCTCGGCTGCCAGGCAAGGCCCCAGGGCACTGAGCTGTCCTTGAAGATCGAAGGAGACTCTGGTAAACACAAGGCCTCTTGGGGACCCGTCACATCCAAACCAGAGCGAGGTGCAGTTTTCACAGCCGATTTCAGTTCACTGTTCGGCATGTGCACCATGATGACCAGACACTTCTCTGTCTGGGGCCGTTTAGTCATGTCTCTCCACCCGCTGGGGACAGTTGAGGCCAGACGTTGTTAGCAAGGGGTCCTTCCCAGGACATACATTCTAGGCAGGGGGGAGCGAGAAGCGGCCCAGGTGGCTTCTCTGTGAGCACACAGAGGAGACACAGGCTGTAGCCCCCTGAAGGCAACTCAGGGGCCCCACTTCAGCTACTGAGAGCTCCCGGTTGCCCGGCGTGTGTGTTAGCTGTGTGGGACCACCAAGACTTGGCGACCGAGGGGGACTAAGGCACTGAACATGAAGCTCAGCTTCACTGAACATGAAGCAGTTTGGGGGATGGGGATATTGCAGAGACGTAAGACCTGACTCATTATAAGGCCAGGAGCTAATTGCTGGGTCAGAGGTGTGAGCAAAGTGTCATACGCACGCTGTGTATCTATCGACACATAAGCTACAGCACAGCTGGGCCTCGGAGACATTGTGCTTTGTGGAATGAGGCAGGCAGAGAGGACAAATATTATGTGTTTCCACTTAAACCAGGTAACTGGAACAGGCAAACTCACAGAGACATAAAGGAGAACCGATGCTCGGAGGGGCTGGGGTGGGGAGGGAGATGGTTGGATGGAAGAAATTTTGTTGTGGCTGATAAGTTTTAGCGGATGGTTACACGACATTGTGAATACATTGATACCACTGTTTGTATGGTTAGAAAAGTGAAAGTGATGAGCGTGTTATGCACATTTCTCTCTCTCTCAAACACACACACACACATACACACACCCTGCAAATGGCTTGAGCTAGAAAGTCCCCTTTTGCCTCATGACCCGGGGAGGCCTGGGCTGATTCCAGGGCCAGGGTCCCCTCCCCAGCCCTGCTCCATTCTCAGACCCCAGTGAGGGCCCTGGGGGGCTCCATGTGCCCCTCCTGGAGCAGGATGGTCGCAGCCTCTCCTGCTGAGTCAGAGAAAGAGTTTCCTTCCAGTGAATGTCTTAAAAGTCCCGAGATGCACTCGGCACGGTGACCTGCCACCCCCAACTGACCCCTGTGGCCGGGGGCTCACCGCACATGATCTGCTCGTACCTGAGTCACTTGCTCCGTCCACTCCCGGGGTTGCTGAGAGGGCCCCGCGTGGACCACGTGGGCTTGGGGGCTGGGGGCCAGGGGGCCACCAAACCAGACTGGGGGTGCTGCCGACAGAAGGAGCAGGTCCCGACCGGCACGAGACAGACCCACGCGTGGCAGTCCCGTGGGCTTCTGTGCCCCAGTGTCCATTCTAAGCATCCTTGGTCTTTCCCAGTGTCTAGGACAGACCGCTCGGTGGCTGAGATGGTCACCGAACTCTCGCCTTCCTCTCCCGGGCAGGTCCAACCTGGATCCCTTCAACAGCTACACGGATGAGCAGATCTGGGGCGCTTTGGAGAAGATGTCCTTCAGCCAGACGGTCAGTGGCCCGACGGGATCTGAGCCTGCACCTCCCACAGGGCGCGCCCCGCACGGTGCTCTCGAGGGGGCCACGCTGGGTGGTAGGCAGGGCCGTCTCATGCAGATGGCGTGGCCTGAGATTCCTTGGCATGGGCCGATGGCGCCCAGACATGAGCAGTGTACCAGGCACATGCCGGGCTTGGGGACGGAGCAGAGAAGAGGCGAGCGGGGTCTCTATGCTCCAGCATTCGGTGGGAGGTACAGGCAACCAGCCTGTGACCAGGGAGATCCTTTCCGATGGTGGATGGGGCTGGAAGGGGTGCAGGGAGACCACTAGCCTTTCCATGGGAGTGGGGGTGGGGAGCAGCCCCTGTGCCTGGGCTGGCCCGGCAGGGCCCCTTTAAGGACCGGAGCTGGGACCAGACATGGACAGGCGGGCGCAGGCAAGGAAGGAGACCGCCATGGTGGAGCGCTGAGGAGGAGAGGGACAGGACGGGACAGCAGCCTCAGGGGGGTCAGCGTAGGTCCCACCGCACAGCACGCACAGGCCCGCATGACCTCCTCTCCTCTGCACCGATGTGACAGATCTTAAAGCTGCCCCAAGGGCTGCAAGCCGAAGTCTTGGAGAATGGCAGGAACTTCTCCGTGGGGGAGAGGCAGCTGCTGTGCATCGCCCGAGCCCTGCTCCGCAACTCCAAGGTCAGGCCAGGGCAGCGCCAGAGGACGTCTCCCTCCGCTGCTGCAGGGTGGTCCACGCATGGTGGGGGTGGTGAGGTGTAACAGGCAGGGCTGGCACCTGTGTCCTCAGCCCCCACGCCCCGCACCGGAGCCCAGGCGCGGGCCGCAGAACCGAAAAGCTCAGGGGTCAGGAGCTGACTGATTTGAAAGTGGTTCACCGCACATTCTTCTAACACGAGGGGGCAAGGATGCCCCCTTGTCCTTATTAGAACCGAGACTGAGAGCTCCGCCGTTCCAGGGCCAAATCATACAGGTTTGAGAAATTTCCTCTGACAGTGTTCCTTGAAGTTTTCTAAATAATTTCACCAGTAATTACAGGTAGTTGACCCCCTGGGCTCGTTAGCAGCAAGCTTTCTCTCACCAGCAAAGCACAAGGTGCACACACATATGTGTGCATGAACTCCTGATTTTGCCGTGTCTGCGTGCCCTCTGATTCACTCACGACGCCCCCTCTTTAGGAAGGGTCTCCTGGTCAACAGTAACATTCGTGAAACCACACTCCATGCTTGCCGTATCTCCCTAACGCGGATCGTTAGTGAAACAAGTTAAAAGATGCTGCAGTGAAAAGAATGATGGTCTGTGGGGGAGGAGGGCTCTCGCGGCTGGTGAGGTGCCCCCCCCACCGCCCGGCCCTGTGGCATATGCCTGACCCCGCTGTGCGAGTCCTTGATCTGCATTCATTCGGCAGAAAAGTGGTTCAAAAACCAGAAGGGCCACTGGGGCATTTCCAAGAGTTTGATTCTCACTGTGGCTGGGTGCTCAGTTGGTCAGGCATCACTCCAACAGGCCAAGGCCGAGGGTCCCAGGCCCAGGCCGGGCACGTACAGGGATCAACCCATGAACCTGTGAATACGTGGAACAGCAGATCAATGTTTCTCTCTGTAATCAGTAAATTCAGAAAAAGATTTTAACTGGAAAATAGTTAGCGCTTGGTGGTGACCTAATAGTGTCTTCAAAACGTCACCAGTAACAAGAGCTCACAGGGGATTTCGGACGCGGTCCCAAGCTCTCAGCGTGCAGCCAAGGGTCTCGGCAGATTAGGGTCTGACCCACGGCCAGACCCAGGCTCAGAGCCCAAGGCCACCTTCACCCCCTATCTGTGTCCGCCAGATCCTCCTCATCGACGAAGCCACAGCCTCTGTGGACATGGAGACCGACGCCCTGGTCCAGCACACGATCCGAGAAGCCTTCCGGGGCTGCACGGTGCTGGTCATCGCCCACCGCATCACCACCATCCTCTACTGCAACCGCATCCTGGTCATGGACAACGGGCAGGTGAGGGCGGCAACCTGGGCCGGAGGAGGACTGGTGTGCACGCCAGTGCCCGGTGCGGGGGGGGGGGGGGGGCCTTCCTTCCTTCCAGTCTGAGCTCAAGCGGGTCGCTGTCCCTTCCTTTCTCCGCCCTCCAGGTTGTGGAGTTCGACAAGCCTGAGGTCCTGCGGAGGCAGCCCGGGTCCATGTTCTCATCCCTGCTGGCCCAGTCTCGGGGCTTAGGAGAGGCGGGGGCTGAGGGCCGAGCTGATCACCGTGGTTTACTGGGTGCGTCGCTGTGACCCTCTGGGGCAGGGGCAGCAGAGAGGTGTCCTGAAAGCCGGGCTGATGGGGGCTGAGGGAGGGGACGCAAAAGAAGACCAAGGGAGGTTTGGGGAATGCTGAGAACCTCAGCATTCTCTGAGACCATGGGGTCAAATGATCTTGTGTCTCTTTTTAACTGATGCGTTGAGTGATTTCATGGTAATGTAAAAGCTTATTATACTTTTCTGATCTGTGTGAAGAGTCTTGCAAATGATGTATTAACTCTGCAAAGAAAAGTCTCATTCTTCATCCTGCTTTCTACTTGAGCTAATACTCCTTCGGCCGCTAGGAGCAGAAACTCCCTTAAACTAATGTCTGGGAAAGGGAGCTTGATCGGCTCAGGTATTGGAAAGGTCCAGGAGAAGGATGCCTGACTTGCCGACGCTGCCCCTCTTCTTCTCTCAGCTCTGTTTTCCTTTGTTTGGCTTCACTCTCTGGCCACCGCCCTCCTCGTGGTGGCAGAATGGCTGCCAGCAGCCCTAAGCTTGCATCCCACCAGCCTAGCACCCTGGGCTCTGGAACCTCCAATGACTCTACCAGAAGCTCCAGGGCTAAATCTCATCCGGGCATGTGCTCATCCTTGAACCAATCACGTGCTAGGCTGTTGCAATACAGCATCACAGATCACAGGCCCACACCTGGGCCTGGGGATGGGCTCAGCTGCCCGGAATCACAGAAACCGAGAATGGAATTGTTTCTGCCAAATAGCCTCGGGGGGGGGGAGGGCTTCTACAGTACGGACGAGGGGCGGATCTGGGGGCCGGGCAGGCCCCAAGCAGGAGCTGCCTGACCTTGTGTTTGTTTGGGTGGAATGAAGAGTTAGTTGGTAACAGGACAACTGTAAATAAGACCATTTGCTGCCTCTCCCACGTTGGTTATAGACAGGTCATTAAAAAGGTAATTGTGTTCGATGTACCTGTCAGTGCGTGACACCTCATTGCTGTGGGGAAATACGTTGCGGGTGGGGGTGCGTGCAGGGATGCCCTGCCCTCGTGGAATCTGCCCTCTTGAGCAAACAGGGAACAAGAGAACAGAACCAAGTGACAGGAGGGGAGGACAGTCCGGGAGGGCTTCCTGGAGGAGGGGAGGTCGTGGTTTACTGAGACCTGAAAAACAAACATTTGCTTGGATGAGAGGGATTGGGGCAGGAAAGACAGCTCCAGGTGGAGAAGAGCAAACCAGTCCCCGTGGCAATGAACTCTGGCAGCAGGCCAAATTCGGAGAGCACCCTCCTGCTGAGTGACAGGTGTGCCTCCCTTCTGTTCCCACCTGGGCCTCCTAGGCAGCACCTGCCTCTCTTCCCAGGGCAGTTTCTGGGTGAATGTCTTCTCTTTCTTAAAAGCCCCTTTGCCCGGGTGGACCCCCTTCCGCTCAGTTCTCGTCATTTCCCCTGGCGCCTGAAGGGTGCCTGAGGACTCCTCCTGCCCCCATCTCAACCCAGCCCCGCAGGGTTTGCAGGTTGGAGGGGACCCTGCTCACCTGGCCAGTCCCCTCCAAGAGCTGCCCTGAGAAAATGCTCCCAGAGGCATGTTCCTCATGGTGGCCAGCAGATGGCAGGCTCTTCCTAAAAATCCAGATCCGCTACAATCCTCCAGGGAAAAGGGCTGACCCCTGAGTCAGAGGCCGGGAAACAGGCCCCATTTCCATTTCATCCTCAGGTTGCCCCGCCCCTCGCCCCGCCTCACCTCTCAGCAGCCTCTCCCCGGAGCCTCTCGCGACCAGGCTGCACACTGGAGTCACGCACATTTTTTAAAATGCTCCCAGAGGGTCTGGTGTCCCTGGTTTGGGGTGGAGACTGAGCTTGCAAGTGCATCTGAAGTGCTGCAGAACTTGAGAACCTCCGCTTCCAGCTGCAGTAAACGATATAGAATTTTTTAAAGTCGGTTTCCCCCCCCTGGCTGGTGTGGCTCAGGAAATTGAGTGCCAGCCTGTGAACCAAAGGGTCAGTGGTTCGATTCCCAGTCAGGGCCCATGCCTGGGTTGCAGGCAGGTCCCCGATTCAGGTCGTGTGAGAGGCAGCCAGGTGCTGTATTGCTCACACATCGACGTTTCTCTCCCTCTCTTTCTCCCTCCCACCTCTCTAAAAATAAATTAATAAAATCCTTTAAAAATAAAATGTTTTTTAAAATAGCATATTTTTAACAGCATTGGCAATATTTCATCTCTTAACCTGAGTGATGAGATATGAGTCTGTTTCCTTGAAAGAATTCTTTACGTATTTGGGGGCACCAGACTATTTTGTAATACAATTATAAAAAATTGATATTTAAAAATAATACAAAAATAAGTGTAATGAGGGAACGTACACCTTGGTTCTACTTCCGTATTTGTATTCAATGGTTCGCTCTTGCTTTTTCAGTTGTGCCCCGGTGGGGAGGGTGCCGGGGGTTCTGCACCCTCCCTCTGTCCCAGGGGCGGCCCTCCACGTGGTCAACACCTTGAGCACGAGCTCCGTGACCCTGGCCCACCAGTGACAGTGGCTGACACTCCCCCACCCATGCCCCGCCCCCTGTCCCCACTCTGACACCCTTTAAGAGAACCCTGGTAAACGAAGCTCTTCCAAGGACAACCAGCAGGGGGGGCCTGAAAATCCGCCGTGAGAGGACCCAGGGAGGAAGGGCCCAGATTCCATCTCCGCCCTCCTGAAGTCCTCTTCTGGAAATGGCTCCCGGGGACTGGCTGCGTGAGGGGCCTCCGGGGGCTCTGGAAGCCCCCCCGGGTCAGGGGTGGGGACTCATACCCTCCGCCCCGAGAGTGGTCCCACAAGGCCCGGTGGCATCTGGAGTCTGCTCAGAGGGGATATTGGACGGGGTGACTTCCGCAGGGGACATGGCTCTGGGTACAATCGTGGGCAGGACACGGTCTTGCGGGGGGGGGGGGGGGGTCCTCAGACTGTGCGAAGCATCAGAACAGCCCCACCCCCAGGCTTTCTGACTCAGTAGGTGCCTGGTAGGGCTTACGAATCTGTCTTTCTCACGACTTCCCAGTTGTTGCTGGTGCTGCTGATCTGGGGTGTCCGTCCCGAGAACCCCGAGGTGAGCCAGGTGGCCCTGTCGCATGTGATCTAGAGGGGAGGGGTTCGAACCCCCATTCTAACATCATCCCACGAGTTTCTGTGCTTTTAGGGCACTTTTGTGTTTATGACCCATCCTGGTTTGGGCGTCCCGAGCGCCTCATGAACGCTCATGGCTTCTGCTTCACATTGACCTAGAAAGAGAACTTCCTTGTTACCATCAGTATTTTTTATATGTCAGTGACCTCAGGGAAGTTTTGGACTAGAGGAGGGGTTTCCACCCCAGTAATTCCACAACTTCCACTTGAGAATTGAGCACCCATTTTCTTAAGGGGTCTCCGCATCTCCACCCTTGGGGTCTGGTCTCTTCCCTGCCGTTATCCCCGGAGTCCTCCCGGCCCCCACCTCCCCGTTCCTGGACCCCCGTCACAGACAGCAGCTGGGCTCTCAGCAGGGACGGCGCCCCTTCCTGCCGACGAGTCCTCGGGCCTTGTTGTGTACCCCCAAGAGACACACCACGGACGCTCTAAACCCACAGTTTCACCCTCCGCTGAGCTCTGGCGCCAGCTGTTAAGGCTGTAAAATTTCGCCCCATTATCCTAAGTGTCCCCTAGTCTGCCCCTGTCTCATTAAATAACACTGGACTCCCGCTGCGTGGGAGTCGGAAGCAGCCTCAGAGATGGGCCTTCCGGATGTGCACGCCCGTGGACTGGCCCGCGGACTCCTGAGCGAGGGGCAGGGGAGGGGCACCTGGGTGTGGCTGGGACCAAATGATGTCTGTGTTTTTACTAACGGAGACTCAGCCTTCCCAGTCACCGACGAGGCAGCGGACGACGCTAGCAGGCACGGTGCTGGGACCCTATCCCCGACCCCAACCGCGGACACGCCTGGATCGCGTTCCCACTGTGGCAAACACCCCCAGCGGTCACTTCCGTGCTTCCCTGCTTTGAGATGAGGGCAGTTATGAAGTCCAACAACCACTTACTGCTAATCATGTGATTAATGCCACGATAGGGAAGCATGTGTTACCATATTCGATTTGGGTTTTTTAATGCGTATTTTGGTTACCCTGCTTTAGTGTAAATTGGTTTTCTTGGCAAGCCTTTGTATTTTATTTTACACACTAGGCACGCTATTCTGAGAGAGCAGGATAAAATGACAGCGATCCAGGCACCTTGCCCGCAGGGCCCGTCTTCCCCACGACTGTCCCCAGGCCTCCCCGGTCCCCACCACCCTTTGGGTAAGAAGAGAAGTCTCTTCTGGGGCCGGCCGCCTCCTTCCTCCTCTGTGAATTCCGTCCCCAGAAGCAGCCGGCAGGGGGAGGGAGTGGCCGGATTGTGAGTAGGGAGAGGGCTTGGGCAGGTTTAAAATCCTACAGCTTCAAAATCTGTCCTAGATTCACGGGAGTTAGGTGAAAGCAGTCTTCTAAGGCGTCTGAATAATTCTCGAAGACATGTCCAGATATGTTATGTCTGAATCTGGACACGTGGCTCCCTTCCAGCCGCCCACCTGTCACCGGGGCTTCGCTGCCCCTCCCAGCTTGGGCCCGCTTTCTGAGCCGAGCGCTGCGTGGGGCCGGGCACTTAACGAACGGGACTCGTGACGTCGGGAAAGGCCTGTGCTGGAGTCCAGCGAGCCCGGAATGAGGTACACAGGACCGTCTCACGTTCTTCAGGAACCTGTCTCACACTCGAGAGCGCGCTGCGGGCACCGGTGCCCGGCTCTCACTTAATGGTGACAATGGGGCTCGACGGCCATTCACTTTTGGGTCAGTGCACGGGAACGAACAGACTGGTCTGTCTTGGAGATGGGCGTCCCCTCCCACCCCTGACGGCGGAACTGCCCCCATGCGCAGGGACACAGCGGGGGCTCGCCTTCTGGGAGCAGGAGCCTGGCCCCCAGGCCTGCTGTCCCTGGGTCCTGCAGTGGGCAGAGTGGGGACTAGGGGAGGATTTTGTTGTCCTCTGCACGGAGCTGGGACGTG